AACCAGTGTAAGACCTATTTTTCTAAGACCCTCAGAATTAAAAATATAGAAATGTATTTTAAAGAAGAAATAAGAGTGATTTAAGAGTTACCTTTCAGTGAGTTGCACTGCAGATCTATTACTGCTGTGGAATTGTATGTCTTTCCCCATTTTAGGATGTGGGGGTGCACGCCAATGGAGCCATTGCATACTCACAGGACTTCAATATACAGTATCAAAGGTAACTAATCTTTTTCACATTGAGCCATGCAGTGAGAGAGCAGGAATACTCTCAAGAGTAGCATGAAGCAATTGTGTGACTCTTGTATTTGTAGGTAGCAGATGCACAGAACTCAAAGTCTCTTTTCTTGTGCTGCTTCTAACTTCTACTATTCCAAGCAGCAAGGACTCTGAACTAGGCCTCTCTGGCTTATTTAGTGCAGCTCTTTGGGTTAGCTATGGGCCTGGTCAGCAACGTAAGTCTTTACCTGACAGATAAACACAGCCCTTCTGCTCTTAAAGCTGTGCATGGGTCCCTCTGGGTTGATTGCTTAGTAGGTGCTGCACACTTCAGGGTGGCTCTGTAATCCTTAAAACCTTAGCAACATGTATTTAATGGGCCCTTGAGAAGATGCTCCAGTGTCTGTGGGCTCTTCCTGCACATGCATGCCAGGAACTCTTGATTCTTTTGGATGTGGGAAAACATGTTGCCTTTGAATCAGGTGAGAATGCTTTTAGAAGCTAAGAATTTCTTGGTATGTGTGAAAGATTCAAAAGAACCTTCAGAGAATAGGTTTTATGCTGGCAATTTTATGGATGTTGGAACAGCTGCTCTCTGGGGAGAGATTTTCAGGTTTGCAGTGAGAGAACAGTCGCTAGGAAGGAGCATGGCAGGAACTGTGAAATAGGCTCTGTCTCTCTTCCTTCTTGAAGTTCTTTCTGTCCTCCAGGGCACTGCAGGAGAGCTTCCTCACCAGCTCGGGTAACTCCCAGTGCAGCAGCCCTAGTGAGCCTTCCAGCTTTGAGAAGGACTTGCAGCTTGCCATGGAGTTGTCTGTCCGAGAGCAGGAGGAGCGGGAGAAGCAGCGTCGGGAAGAGGAGGATGCAGAGCTGCAGCAAGTCCTACAGCTTTCCCTGGTGGAGAAATAACCCCTCCGTGGCCTCCTGAAATGAGGATGATAACCAAATCTGCACAAAACTGAAGGCTTTTGGGGCTGTCAGGCTGAAGACCACTCCTGGATTGCTTAAGTAAATGTTTCACCTGCCCTCAAGGTTGGCACCATCAGCTACCAAAAGCTGATTTATATTTGTCTGAGGGAGTTCAAGCCATGGGACTCTGCATGTGGCTCCCAGTCTTAGCTCCGAAGGAAGGTTTCTATCTAAACGTATTTATTGAAGAGCAGATGGGAACTTTGCTTAGCATCAGGATATAGAATCGCAGCAAAGCTTGAAAACCTGATTTCCAGGGAGTTTAGGAGGGAAACTTCATTACTTACCAAAGAAATATTCACCTGTTTAGTCATTTCTGAGTAATTCAAAGCCATTGCCTGTTTCTTCCCGTTGTGACATGGAAGAGTCTCTATATGCATCCACACACATAGGTAGTTCTTTGTGCTGACAGATGATTTCTGTTAGCTTTGTTTATATGTGATTCTCTGTTTAGTTACTGAGATTTTAGCATGTGCTCCTGCTTAAGAGGGATAATTTTATACTTGAACAGCTAATCCAAGCTCCAGATTAAACTAGTGCTTTCTGCAGAAAGGACAAAACAAGCAGCCAGTAAAAGCAGATCCTAAACTGGGACCATTTGCCAAGTAAAGCAGCAGTTTCTGCAGCGATTCCAAACCAGCTCCTTCCCATAGTCAAAGGGCAGCAAGAAAATAAGTGCTAGATACAGGTGCTTCTCTGCAGTCACTCGCTGCATGCACGACTGTGCCTGGGTGTGGGTGCTAAAGTCAAACAGGAAACCAGCTCAGGTGGGATTTTAATGTATCCATAGTGGAAGGTAAGTGTTAACCTGTTATTGGAAGGGAAGCGCGTGTTGCTTTTTAGAACTCAATGGCTCATCCTTCGTGTGAAGACATATATTTTTTTTATCTGAGTATTTTTATTGATTTTAAAGCAAACCAATAGGCCTCCACTCCTCCAAGTGGCATTGTAAGGGTTCACAGGTCTGTTTTAACCAGCTCTCCTCAGGTCTTTTCCTCATACGAGCTATTTGTAGCTGTTTTATCTGCACTTCTGTCGGTGTTTACAGTACTCACACTGTGACTCTCAAGTGCACTCCACAAGTACACGATGTACATCCACGGGAAAGCCTTACCGTAGTTAAATGTGAGCAATATTCCTCTGTTCTGGCTGGCAGAGTGGGAAGAACCTATGGTACCTAATGGGCTGATCTTGCTACCTAATCCTGCACTTGTTCCTCAGGCAGAACAGGGCGGTTCTGTGTGACCAACTATTAACCAGTATAAAATCACTGTAGAAAGGACTCGATCGTAACCAGGGCGATGGTTGGTGACTTGGAACCTTATTTTAAACCAATAATCCATTGTTTTACGTAGGAAATGATTAAAATTCCTTCAGCGTACACTACAACTGGATTATCTGCACTGTTTCTGTTCATCCAAATGGCTTGGGGGTGGTGGTGGCCTCAAAAGGGAGGTGGAAATCGTTCCACCTGACCAGGAAGGCCATTCCCTGTGCCAGGAGCTGCTTTTCTTAAACCCCAGTTTCCCTCTGACACTGTATGTATGGGAAGTGTCCTTTTAATACTCTGTGTGTGCTGGAAGAACAAAGATTCTGCACACTATTACACTATATAAATGGTTTATTGCTAACACAGTAACTGGAGTCCTTTGGAATAATGACCTGCCTTTTTGTTGCCTTTCTGGCCATCAAAGGTGATGTTATGTCTATGGAGTTGTCAAAAGGCAGCTCTGGTGTAGTCTGAAACACAGACATAATCCCTGGAACCACGTTTCTGACATTTTCAGCCAACCTTTGTGTCTCCGTGGTTTGGAAACCGATGGATCCATGGCAATGAAAGGAAGCAGCATGGGACTCCGAGCTCTTGTTTCTGTATCTACCTTTGTGTAAGTAAGAGGAGAGGAGCAGCAGAGGGTTATTAATGTTAATGCTGTGTAAAAGCTGAGTCCAACCTCTCTTTCCAAGGAAGCCCAAGACTGATGTAGGAAAGCAGCAGCTCAGACACCTCTAGTTCATCCCAAACTACAACTGGCTTTTGAAGTGCTTGAGATGGGTGCTGTTTCCACATGGTTGGTGCTGTCTGCACTTGGTTTTGAGACTTTACCACATGTTTTTTTCTATGTTTTTGGACTGTTTTAAGCATACAGGCTAATGTTCAACAGCAACAACTGGTGATGGGCTTCATGTGGATAATCCTTATGCTGCCTTGGATGTCTTTTGATTTCAAAATGGAATCTTCCTAACTGGACTTTACCTGTTTATGTCACCGGTGACTGCACCACGCTCACAGAGTGAAGTCTTGAGGCCCTGGTTACCAGTTCCTTGCTGAAAAACACTCAAGAAAACAGGGGCTTTGCCCAGTGCTGCTGTCCTGGCCCTGGTCAGAACTGAGAGCTGATGGGAGGTGAGAAGGGGACAGCTTCATCCTTTGTCCAGCTCCAGAGTTAACAAACGGAACATCCATGAATAAAGAAGAGCCTTGGGCTGTTTACTCAGCTTTTTATTTGTACAAAGAGACGTGGCAGGGAGTGAGGGATGAATGCAAACCAGCATGCTGCTCCAGGGAGCGCTGAGCTGGAGCTGGGAGCTGCAAGCTGCATCCAGCCACCAGGAACAGCCGGTGAGGACTGAGAGGAATCAGCAGTAAGGACTCAGAGATCAGAAAGAAAGGGGTCAGAAAGCAGCAGGCAGCGTTACCTTGCTTCCTCATCCATGTTTCACTTCAGTTAATACCTGGATCTGTTCTAGACCAGCCTCCTACTGTTATTTGACTAACAGAGCATGAGCAAAGCAAATCCCCCATTGCAATCATGGAGTAGTTCGGGTTGGAAGGGCCCTTCAAAGCTCATCTAGTCCAGCCCCCCTCCAATGAGCAGGGATGTGCTCAACTAGACCAGGTTGCTCAGAACCACATCCAGCCTGGCCCTGAATGCCAGCAGGCACTGTCCTTTAAAACAAACTGAACAGAGAACACATCGGATGCAGCGCAAGGGTTTAGGGAACAGCCAACACAGTCGTTCCGGAAGGGAAGTTTTAAAACACTAAATAAATTACTAAGCAGACACCCCTATGTTAAATAACAGGTACACTCAAGAAGCGAAATCCAGTTACTACTTGGAGCAGTGCAAAACAAAAGAGCAGCATTCATACCAAGTGGGATTCCAGTGTAAACACCTGAATCTCTTACTGATGGGACAGGGCTGGCTGGAGCTTCCTCACAAGGAACCTCCAGGAGCTGGATCCCGGTAGTGGAAACCCTCAGCTGCATCCCAGCTCCTGACAGGCTGGGCATGGACGTTTGGTGCAAGGCGGGTTGGGGCTGTTGAGCTGAGAGTTAAAGCAAATACCATGGAGCATGCCAAGCCTGTCCCAGAGCAGCTACACCAGGAGCTGCTCCTGCTTTGGTGTTTCTGCTCTTAGGGAAGCATGGACCAGACCCTGCAGCTGCCAAACTGCAGCCATGGAATGGTTTGGGTTGAAGGGACCTTAAAGCCCATCCAGCTCCAACCCCCTGCCATGGGCAGGGACACCTTCCACTAGAGCAGCTTGCTCCAAGCCCTGTCCCACCCTCAAGATTCATCATTCAAGCGAGGAACTGAGTTAATGTGAACGCAAAACCACATGTGGTGGAACTGCACAGGCTGTGAGCATCTGGCTGTGCTCTCCTGCCGACCCAGGGTGGTTCCAGGCACCGATCACTCCAGCACATCCTGATGGATCAGCATTGCTGTAACGCTGCTCAAACCCAGGCAGGTTCACTGCGGGAGGTCCGGAGTCACCCTGCTGTGATTGCCTGCACCCGGCCATGCTGATGCAGCCACCCACCACATCCATCAGGGCATCATGTGGCTGGCAGGAGATGCAGCGGGCGGCAGGGCTGGGTACCAGGCGGGAGAACAGGGGGTCATGAGCAGCGCTTCCAAGGACGGACCCAGCCCCGGGCCTGGCTCTGTTGCCGCTACCGCCGCCGCACGGGCTTGTAGACGCAGATGGCCATGAGGATGATGGTGAGCAGCAGCGCGCTGAGGATGCTGCCGAGCAGCACTGCGGGAGGATGACACGTTAACGGGACCGCCCGCTCCCCCCCCGCCCCCTTCATCAGCGTCAGAACCGACCCGCAATTAACGCACAGCGTTAATCAACGCCCGGCCCTTACCCAGGTTCTGTTTCTGCAGCACCGCGAAGGGGCGGCCCCGCTCCGCCGGGCCCAGCAGCGCCAGGGCCGCCAGCGCCCCGCGCCCCACCGCCGGCATCCCGCGACGGGGCGGACCCAGCGCCCGCCTCTTCCTGCAGCCCGGCCCCGACCGCGGCTTCTTCCGGGAGAGCCGAGGGAGCGGCCAATGGCAGCGGGTACCGCAGCCCCATGTGCCCCCCCCACAAGCCCTCCGTGCCCCGTTAGTCCCCTGTGGCCCCAAGCTCCGTGTGCCCCTCCAGCCCCGTGCCCACCCCGGCTCTCGCTGCGCTCAGCTCCGCCGCTCTGGGTGATTCTGAATGAGCGGCGCCGCCCGGAGGGGACGGTGATGGGCACCGCTGCAGAGCAGCACAGGCTGGGGCTGCAGCCAGGCCAGGAGCTGGTGCTTTGCCTGCACCGAGGTGAATGTGGGTTCTGGGGAGTGTTCAATCAGTGCGGAGGGATGCGGTGTTACTGGGAAGCGCGCGGCTGGTTCACACCGCCCTGAGCCAACAACAGCCAAGTGGCAGCAGCTTTATTTCCCAGGTCACTCACGGCACAGCTACGGGCATGCACTGCTCCGGCCGCGGCACGGCGGGGTCACAGAGCCCCATACACGGCGCGTTCACCGCTGGGCAGAGCCCCCATCTGCACCGGGGTCGGGGATCCCTCGAGCCGGAGGAGCTGCTTTGGCCCATGGGAGCCGGCGGTGGGGCCCGTGCTCCCTGCTGAGCACCTGAGAGCAGCACGGGCGGCACCGGGGGAGAGGCGGGGGGCGGTTTGCTGTGAGCAGGGCGATGGCAGCGGCTCTTGTGCCTGCCCCATGGCTCACACAGGGCAGGGGCAGGAGGCCGGGGCAGTCTCTGCATCCCCTGGATGTGCCGCCGGGCTACAGCACAGGAGACATGGGCACGGCCTCTGCCTGCGGGGCTCCTGGGGCTTTCTCCGGCCAGAGGCAGACAGCGAGGCGCTGGGGAGAAGAGGCAATGGGTTTCCTTCCTGCACCGGGGTCTGGTGCTGCCTCAAAGCCCATCCAGCTCCAACCCATGCCACAGACAGGGACCCCTTCCACTGGAGCAGCTTGCTCCAAGCCCCTGTGTCCAACCTGGCCTTGAGCACTGCCAGGGATGGGGCAGCCACAGCTTCTCTGGGCACCCTGTGCCAGCGCCTCAGCACCCTCACAGGGAAGAGCTTCTGCCTAAGAGCTCAGCTCAGTCTCCCCTCAGGCAGGTTAAAGCCATTCCCCTGCTCCTCGGGTGTGATTTAACTGCCACATGAACAACGATGCTGAGGATGCATCAACCAGCTCCTAGTCTTGGCTCACCCGAGCAGGTCCCTGCCCACCCCCAGCCCTTGACATTGGGGTCATGGCATTGCCCTGACCTGCTTGAGTGACCCTGGTGTCCAGATGAGCTTGTACACCATGTACAGGGGGATGCAGATGAAGGACGATGCTGCTATGAGGTACCCCACCGAGATGCTCCACTCAGGGTACTGATACTCAAAGAGGGTCAGCGGCGGCTGGTCCAGGAGGGAGCTGATCACGATGAACTGTAACCAATGGAGCAGAGAGGGATGCTCAAGGGGCTGGACCGCAGCAGGAGATACCCCACTGCTGGTCACCAGCAGGTACAGCCCCAAACCCCACGTGCACGCCATGGGTGGCACAAACCCTCTCTGGGGATGCTGCAGTGACACTTCCCAGCTGCCAGGCGTGGGGCTGGGAGGTCTTCATCTCACAAACCCCACTGGGACCGCGGCGTGCGCAAGCTGCACGTCCCCAGTGCTGAACAGCATCGCTCACTGTCTGCTTTGATGGTAATTCCTCCCTCTTAATAACCACGGCCAAGGGCTCAGAGCACTAATTAATCCTCACAAGGCCTCTTCTCCCGCACATGTGGTGAGATTAGACCCCTCTGCCTCTAAGCAGCCTTTGAAGTGCTGGGCGAGCTGCATTTCAAAGGGGACAGATCCAGCTCGGTGCTGTACCCGTGGCTGGTGGTGCCAGCACAAGTGTGGGACCGGGAGCTTGAAGTGAAGCTGTGCTTGTGCCATGCGAGCTGCCAGCTCCCAGCTCTGCCCCAGAGCTGCACAAGGGGCTGGAAAACGTAATTCCAGCTCGTTCCTTTATAAACCCAGCTGTTCCCAGGGGCAGCAGCATCATAAGAGGCTGGTACAGGGCAGCCCTGCCTTTAATCCTGGCCATAGACACTCACCGCCAGCAAGGCAGGGCTGATGGCCACCCAGCACACCTTCCAGAAGACACCCGGGGTGAAGCCCAGCATGGCTTTCACATCGTGGGAGAACCTCTGTATCCCTGCGGAGGAGAGAGCTGTCCCAGCATGGGCATGGGGGCATCCACACACCGCTCCCTGCCCCATCCCACACGTGCCCCTGCCCCTGGATCCCATAGCATTGACTCACATGCGTGATGCAGAGCGTTGTGTAGGTGCCTGCAGGGGGGTTTAATGAACTGAGGGGGTTTCTTACCATAAACCCAGGACACGGCGATGGTTTCCAGGAGCACCACAGCCAGGATGGAGCAGCCAGCGCCAAACTCCTCCAGCAGCTTCACCACGTAGGCTCCCCCCTGCAACAGCACAGGGAGAGCGGCTGCAGGGCCCATAGGGAGCAGGAGAATAATGGAGGTAGGAGTGGGGATGTGGAGGGATGGGATCAGAGCCCGGTGCTGCTCACGTAGGTGAGGGTGCTCAGGGAGCCCAGGAAGCACACGGTGATGAGGCCGAGCACAAAGAGCTCCCGTCTCCCGGCCAGGATCTGGGGGTACTCGTCCATCATGGCCGTGATCACAGCCTCCAAGCCCCCGAACTGCAAAGGAAACAGCAGAGCAGGGTGGAGAAATGGGATGTGGGGATTGTGCTGCTCCCTCAGGCAGTCTGGTCCCACCCTGTCCCCTCTATCCCCGCCATGCTCGGCAGGCTGCCCTCCTTCCCGAGGCTACAGCATCCCCTGTCACCCACTGTGAGCCAGGGGACACCAGGCTGCACCCACCGTGCTGTCCAGCCCCAGCGTTACCATCATCAGGAAGAAGATGATGGCAAAGAAGGTGGATCCCACCATGTTGGCGATGGCTTCAGGGTAGGTGATAAAAAGGAGGCTGGGCCCTAGGAGGGGACAGGGGTTTGGTTTGCTGTTCCCCAGCTGCTCTGGCACACACAGGGGCAGGACGGGGCAGCTGTGATGGACAGAGGGGAACCTTTGTCTCTGGCGACATCCTCCACCTCCACGTCCCTCATCTCAGCCATGTAGCCCAGCACGGTGAAGATGACGAAGCCCGAGAGGAAGCTGGTGAGGCAGTTCACTGCGCTGGTCACCAACGCATCCCTGCAGGGCAGAGAGCAGGGATGTGTCCCATGGGAGAATCCCACCCCGGTCCAGCACCCCCAGGGGTTCCCTCTCCAGCCCCACACACCGAAACCACCATTGAATGGGGCAGGATGCTCCACCTGGCGCATAGGAGCTGCGGGATGCAGCCGAGCATCCCAGGGCTGCCGGAGCTCACCGGTAGCAGTTGTTGTGGAAGGGGTTGTAACTGGCCAGAGCGAGGAGGACACCGAACCCAGGGCCCAGGGAGAAGAAGATCTGTGCGGCAGCATCCACCCACACCTGGCAGGAGAAGCAACAGGCAGGGCCAGAGGTACCCCATGGCGCACCCACCCCATGGCATGGGGATGGGGTCTGCATTGGCACATGCTGCCAGACCTCCTCTCCTGCCTGCCCCATTCCCCGGGAGCAGGGAAGCTGCTGTGGGATGGAGGGGCCTGCAGCAGCAGGATTGAGCATCAGCATCTGTGTGTGCCTGTGTTTGAAGGGGATGAGGCCGAGGGGAGCCCCGAGCCCCCCATGCGTGCTCCTGCGGGGGGGAGCCTCAGTGCTGGCAGTGGGGCCCTGATTCTCTTTAATGAGAATTCTCAAGTGGTGCCTGGTAATTACCCACAGGAAGCCCATTGTGAGCCCAGGGCACAAACAAAACCCGGTGGTGATGAGATGGGTGATTCAATTACAGATTTACATTACAAGGGCCTGTCGGGGCCTCTGTTCCTGTAGGAACCAGGGCCCCATTGCCAGACTCATGGTGTCTGTGCCAGGGTTTGGGTGCTGGGGTCCCACCGTGCACTCACCGCAGTGCTCAGGAGCTTGCCCCAGTCCGGGCGCAGGTAGAAGAGGACCCCTCTCCATGCCCCGGGCAGGGTGGCCCCTCGGACCAGCAGGATGAGGAGGACAGCGTAGGGCAGCGTGGCCGTCACCCACACCACCTGCAGGGAGCCAGCCCTCAGCACAGGGGCACCCAACCTGCCCGTGTTGGGCATGGCGAGGGGTGGGAGCATGGGGAGGAGGCAATGGTTGTGTTTGAGCAGCCAGGAGAGCTGCAGGACCCCACCAGGGACCCCACTGGGGCTCAGTGCATCCCGCCTGGCTGTGGTGGGGATGCTCAGCACAGGGATGGTGCTGGGTTCTCTTTACCTTCCCAGAGGTTTTCACCCCTTTCCACAGGCTGAAGTAGACGATGGTGAAGATGAGGAAGAGGCAGAGGAGCAGCTGCCAGCGGATCCCCCCCACATCGTACAGACCCCCGGACTTCTGGACCTCCAGGACCTTCCTCCTGTGTGATGGGAGCCCCATAGCCAGGGATCAGCACAGCCAGGAGCAGGCAAGTCCCACCTCACCTCTCCCCCAAGCACACTGATAGCAGGGACCAGGAGCTCCCCAAGAGCATCCCCACGTGAGACCCTGCTCCCTGCATCCCGGTCCTTCCCCCCCCCAGCACCCGAGTGCCTGCAGGGGGATGTGCCCCAGGTTAAACACCTCATCCATGTACAATGTGTTGTGCTTACGTGTAGAACTCTTCAGCGGGGGACCTGGAGAAGTTGGTCCAGGTCACGTTGCTCCTCCCGAAGTAGTTGGTGCAGTCGGGTGTGTTCCAGGGGTTGTCGCAGCTGGCCCAGGGCAGGGAGCCCGAGAAGGACGAGCACAAGTAGTAGAGAGCCCAGGCGATGATGGTGTTATAGTAGAAGGAGACGTAGAGGCCAATGATGCAAATGGAAAAGCCGATGCCTGGGGATAGAGGGGAGCAGGCTCAGGAGCCGGTGCCGGTCCAGCCCTCTCGGTGCCTATCCCTAGTGCGTGGCCATGGCCTGGGGGTCTCTTACCTTTAAAGATGGGGCAGATGCGCTTCCAGATGGGGATGGCGCCCGTCCTGTGGAACTGCCCCAGCGCCAGCTCCATGTAGAAGAGGGGAACCCCTCCGAAAACAGCCATCAGTGTGTATGGGATGAGGAAGGCTCCTGTGGGGCGAGGAGCAGAGCGGCGGTGACCAACCTGTGCCAGCGCCTCAGCACCCTCACAGGGAAGAGCTTCTGCCTAAGAGCTCAGCTCAGTCTCCCCTCGGGCAGGTTCAAGCCGTTCAGTTTGGATGTTGTCCTCATTCTCTTTGTCCTCCATCACCTTTACCACTTGTACCCCATGGATGTTTCAGGCCTGGAGCTGCTCTCCACGCTCAGGAAAGCCCTGCTGGGGTTAACTGAACCCCAATGGCTCTTCCACCGGGAGCCCTCCATGTGCCGGTGGGGCACCCCCAGCATCCCCCCATACCCCATGTGCCTGGTGGGGCTGGCCCAGCGGTGCCGCATTGCTGTTGATCCACTCTGTGTGGACCAAAAGCAGCTCCAGGATCAATCCTCCATGCACGGGGTGGGTGAGGAAGCCTCCTCCCTGAACCACCTCAGCACAAAGCAGCTCAAGTTCCCTTCCAATCCCACAGGAGTAAATCCCAAATAGCTGTGTTTCAGCGTGAGCACCCGGGATCCCCACCATAGCCTTGAGTGTGGTACTAATGATCTCCTCCTCGTTTCCCAGGCACCAGAGGATGCTTTCAGCAGTGTAACTGCACTGCAAACAGCACAAAACTGGAATTCCTCCTCTTTCATTTCCACACAGGGGCCCTGCTCTGCTCTGCTCTGCTCCAGCTGCAGCACTTTATTTAGGTGTCATTTACTCCGGGTGGTTTCCCTTCACAGAGCTTCTGCATCTCAGCTCCGTGTTGATCCCTCACAGGTTGAACCCCCTGAGCACCGGCTGCGTGCCCCTGCTCCATGGGATGAGCCGGGATCCGCAGCAGGCGCTGGGATGCTGGCAAGGGTGAGGTTAGAGTAAGGGTTGCATTCCCAGAGCCTCGGGATCATCAAGTGGATGAACCCCCCAGCCTGGATTTAGGGATTCTCAATCCTTGCATGCAGTTTGCTCTTTGTGATCCTGGAGCTGCTAACGCACCTCTGAGGAGGGAATGGCACTGGGAATGAGGGAATGGCACCGGGAATGAGGGAATGGCATTAGGAAGGAGAGGATAACACTGGGAAGGAGTGGGTAACACTGGGAAGGAGTGGATAATACTGGGAAGGAGTGGATAACACTGGGAAGGAGAGGATAACACTGGTAGGGAGCGGATAATACTGGGAAGGAGTGGATAACACTGGTAAGGAGTCGGTAACACTGGGAAGGACTGGATAACACTGGTAAGGAGTGGGTAGCACTGGGAAGGAGTGGATAACACTGGTAAGGAGTGGGTAACACTGGGAAGGAGTGGGAAACACTGGGAAGGAGTGGATAACACTGGTAAGGACTGGATAACACTGGGAAGGAGTGGATAACACTGGTAAGGAGTGGGTAACACTGGAAAGGAGTGGATAACACTGGGAAGGAGTGGATAACACCGGGAAGGAGTGTATAACACTGGTAGGGAGTGGGAAACACTGGGAAGGAGTGGATAACACTGGTAAGGACTAGATAACACTGGGAAGGAGTGGGTAACACTGGGAAGGAGTGGATAATACTGGTAAGGAGTGGATAACACTGGGAAGGAGTGGGTAACACTGGGAAGGAGTGGATAACACTGGAAAGGAGTGGATAACACTGGTAAGAACTGGATAACACTGGGAAGGAGTGGATAACACTGGTAAGGAGTGGATAACACTGGAAAGGAGTAGATAACACTGGGAAGGAGTGGATAACACTGGTAAGGACTGGGTAACACTGGAAAGGAGTGGATAACACTGGTAAGGAGTGGATAACACTGGTAGGGAGTGGGAAACACTGGGAAGGAGTGGATAACACTGGTAAGAACTGGATAACACTGGGAAGGAGTGAATGGAGGAGGATTTTGGATGAAGAAAGACACAAACCAGAAAAGAGCCAGAGGTCAGGAGGAGCTGGGTCGGTCTCCAAACCGCCCTGTCCGGAGAGGAGGCAAAGGAAGGGAAGCAACAGCGAGTTTTTTGGCATCAGAAAGATGAAACCGAGGTTTCTTTGGAGCCAAGAAGCCTCCGCAGTGTCCTTACCCCCTCCGTTCTGGTAGCAGATGTAAGGGAACCGCCACACGTTGCCCAGATCCACAGCGAAGCCGATGACCGAGAGCAGGAAATCCATCTTTTTGCTCCACTTGTCCCTGGGCTGGGTTTGTGGCCCCGGGGCCGTGTCCGGCCATGGAGGGCTGGTGCTGGGCACCGGGCAGGGCTGTGCCATGCTGCTGCCCCGGCGGAGCCTGCAGGATTCAGGCTCAGGAACTCGGGAAGGGTTTTCCGTGTGGCTGATGACAGCTCCGAGGAGGGGAGGGTCGGGCTGACGGCGCTTCCCCACCTCCCGCTGGACCCAGGGCTCCGCAGCTCCCTGCTGCACACATGGAGTTATCGATCCTTTTAACTCCTCGCGTCGGGAACGCCACCGTTCCCTGCCAGGGCTTTGTGAGGAGTGAGGGGTGACAGCTCCCTGCAGGAACCCAGCCCTGCTCACAGGCAGGAGGGGACAGGGATGCTCCGATGGGATTGCAGCCCCTCCGCGCCCAGGTCCATGGATTTCGGGGTGAGCGCAATGGGTCTGTATTTGCACACAGAGGCGATGCTCTTTCCTCCTGACTAACACTTACTTCTTTCTCCTTTGGTGTATTTTGCAGTGAATGCTCTGTGAGTGATGACACTGGACCCACCAAGGGAATAACACCTCATTCTTGCTGGGAAAGCTCTGCGGAGCGAATGGGAAATGGGAATGCCAGGATGCAAGAACAGGGCACAGACCACACTCACTGTGAGACCACTCGTGTGCTGGGTTCACCTCTGTTTGCTGCCCAGAGCCAGCACCACTCACACGGGGCTGGTTGAAGCCACCCCCCATCACCCCATCATCCCATGGGTGCACTGGGTTGTTCTGTTCCAAATAAGCCACCAGCTTCTGCAGCTCAGGTGTGTTGAGGGAGGCAGCGTGTGGGAAACCATCACTCCCCAGTGCAGCAGCGATTGAAAGGTGCCTGTGCAGGGTTACACACCTTGCACAGGGCTCTTGGGTGCTGGGGGGGCTCCGGGGTGCTCCAGCACTGGGTTTGCAGCCCCCTCCGCTGTAATTAAAAGAAGCAACAGAAGAGATGAGAGCAGGATGTGTGCTCCCAAAGCCAGGGGTTGCTGTGACGACGTGACGCAGCGCCCAGCCTCTGGACACTGTTAATCCTGCAGGCACACGCAGAGACCTGTTAGAAACAGCATTAAAAGCACATTTGGGGTTGGTTTGGGAGTGTTTGCTGGGGCTGTTGGAGCAGAGCAGCTCAGGGCTGATGCTGGTCCATGGTCGCACATCCCAGTGCTCTGGGTGGCTGCAGCGAAGGGACAGGAGAGGCTGTGCTTCGGTGGGTTTAGTCCACCTGCAGTGGCACAGCCACCCCGGGCAGGGACCACAGCAGAGGATGCTGAATGGGATGCACTGGGGTGAACTGGGATGCTCCATCCCAGCGGGCAGTGATGGGTGCTGTGGGTCCCTGTGCAGGGCTTCTCCCCTCTGCTTGTGCACCATGAAATCACTGATCCTCCTAACTCCTCCTGCGCGCTGCCCTGAGCGAGCCCGGCACACAGGAGAGGGACAGTTAATCTCCTGGAGGTTTAGATGGGATTTGTGTCACTCCTGGGACTGTGCAAAGCTGAGAGCTCCAGCTGCAATCCGTGCAGCACAGGGTGGACACAGCCATGGGGAATTAAAGACACGGCTGTACCGAGTGCTGGGGCTGCAGAGGGGCTGCAGTCCCCCTTCCTGCTCTGCTCCAGCCGATCCCATGTGCTGTTGGTTTGATGCCGTTCCAGCAGCCCCATCCCTGATGGACCCCGGGGCTCCTTGCTAGTGAATGAGCCATGAATGCACCCAGTGCTCCCATCCTGCTCCCACCTTCTCCTGGGGCACCCGATCAGGGCAAGGCTGCTGCTGTCAAGTCGATGAGGAGGGAGCTTTGAGATCCCTATTTCTTTATTTCAGAAGCTGGAGGGGTCATCACAGAATCTCTGGGACGATGGGGATGGAGGAGGGCAGAGGGAGAGGAGTCCTAGGGAGGAGGTTTTCATTGCAAGGAGTTGTGCTCCCCACACTCAGCTCCAGTGTTTTGGGGCGCAGCAGGATCCCGGCTCTCCAACTCACCAGGGAGATGAGCTTCCCCCCAAGCCCCATGTCCCAGCCCTGGTGTTAGGGGCTGTGTGCGCTGGTCCAGCCTGCCCCATCACTGGTACCACCGGGGCTCAGTGTGCCCGTCAGTGACACACCAGATGGGGGGGTCTGGGCAAAATGCTGTGATTTTGCCAACTTCATTGGTAACTGGTTTTGTCCATCATCCGGCATTCAGTTAGAGGCATTCCAGAGGCCATGTAGCATCTGAAATCACACACAGCTGAAGTCAGGGGTGCTGGATGCGGGTGTTCACCTTGGGGTGTGACAAGGAAGGGGAAGCAACAGGCGGGTACAGTGGGGTTTCTGCCTTTCCTGACTCTGAAGGCTGACTGCTCCCAGCACATCATCCCTCGTGCCGTGTCAGCATCAGCCGCATCACAGACGTACTCTGTGCGCTCCCTTCATCACTTTATTTTGCTTTCCCCTGGTATTTTCCCCACTCGAAGCACAAATCGCTTCAGATTTCAAAGGCAGAGTTTGAATGGAGCTCGAATCAGATTGAAATGCGAATTCCCATCGAGTTCCAGGCTCTTTCTACACAGGACGATTATTTGATTAGCACATTGCTTTTATCCTACCTGCTCCTCCGTGCAGCGAAATGCAGAGGAGTGGATTGTGGTTGGAAAGCAGCTACCCTGTGTGAGCCGCAGAGGCAGCAGTGGGGAGGTTAATTTAATTAGCATGATACTCGGAGATGTAACTTAATCACATTAAGGACAGATCAACGTGCTCTCGTTGGAGCTCTCCAGGCTCCAGAAAACAGGAGCTGATTGTCTCCCAGCTGTCTTTAATATAGGGAGAAGCAGACTTTTCCAAGGAGAAAGAACCAGCAAGGCTTATTATGGGAGGGTTATAAATTAGCCATAGCCCCCTGTATAGCACTGCCGTGATTGGGAAGAATCCAGGCAATCACTGGTCCCTCTCTAGTGCTGTTGCTGGTGCCACCTGAACCTCCCTGGGCTCACCCAGTGCGTGTCCCGCCACCAGCTCCTGCCCATCAGGACCAGGGCAGCATCTCCAGCAGCATCTTCACAATGGCCAAAGTGAGAAACGGGCAGGAGATCCCCGGTGCCTGCCTGAGGCCGTGCTCAAGGCTCTGCCAGGGGCTGATGGTTGAGCCCAAACCCGTCTCATTCCAGGCTGGAGAAGCTTTACAGAGACCGGAGCGTGCAAGGTGCTGCGTGACCCATCCGTGCTGAGCCCTGGCTCCTCAGGACGCACAGGACCGGGGTGGTTGGGGTTGGAAGGGACCAAACCAGCCCCAGCCGCTGCCCTGGTGCTAGTGCGGATTGTAGTTATGGGAAACTGGGCTGCGGAGGAGCCGGGATGCTGTTTCTATGGAAATGTCCTGGAATAGCAATGGGGGAGCAGACAAACGGGAGATCCGTTAATGGCAGCTGCCGGGAGGGATTTGACTGATGGGGCTGTGATTTTGGTAGCACAGACTTGGGTCTCCCATGAATGGATGTTCCTAGAACCATGGTTTGTGTTGGAAGGGACCTTAAAGCCCATCCAGTTCCAACCCTGCCACGGGCAGGGACCCCTTCCGCTGGAGCAGCTTGCTCCAAGCCCCTGTGTCCAACCTGGCCTTGAGCGCTGCCAGGGATGGGGCAGCCACAGCTTCTCTGGGCACCCTGTGCCAGCGCCTCAGCACCCTCACAGGGAAGAGCTTCTGCCTAAGAGCTCAGCTCAGTCTCCCTTCTGCACCCCCGTTCCCATCCATCACCTCCCGCCCGCTGCGGAGGCGCCCGCGGCTGATGCGGGGCTCCCAGGACGTTGCCTTCGCCCCTCAGAGGCCGCTGCGGCCCCAGGGGCTCGCCCCAGTCTCGGGTCCCCTCCCGGGGGTGCCCGGTGCCGGAGACCGCCGGGGGCTGCGGGAGGGGCCGCGCTCCACGCTGATGGCCGGGCCCGGGGCGCTCCCCCCGCCCGGCGCCGATTGGCGGCGGCAGCGGCGGCTCCGCCCCGGCGGCCGCGGGTGGGCCCGGCCCGGCTCGGCCCGGTACGGAGCGGAGCGGGCGCTGCGGAGCGCGGCCATGGCGGCGGCCCCGGCGGGTAGGGCTGGGGGCGGTGGGGCCGGGGCCGGCGGGGCCAGGCTCGGGCCGCCCATCACTAACGGGCTCTCCCCTTGTCCCCACAGAGGCCGAGACCCGGCAGCGGCTGCTGCGCACCGTCAAGAAGGAGGTAGGCGGGTGCGGGACCGCGCGGCAGCAGCCCCGTGCCCCCCATTCCCCACGTGCCCCCCGTTCCCCGTCGCGGCGCGGTGACCCGAGCCCACGGTGATGGGGGTCCGCGGTGGGACCGGCCCCGAGGGCAGCCCCTGCGCTGGGCTCGGCTGCGCGCTGGCTCCTGCTGCGGCGAATCCAGCTCCTGAACCCCCCCATCCCGATCCCGGTGCCGCTGCCCGGTCCCGGGGTGCAGGAGCATCCCTGCCGCAGCGCCTCACGGCAATCGCCTCTGGCCGGCGGCAGAGCTGCTCCCGCAAGCTGTGGTTTCCGCAGGGATAAAGGGACGGTTCCCGGCGCTGCTTCCCTTGGGAACCGGGATGGGGCGAGCCCCTCACTCGCAAAGTGCCCTTGTGTGGGGCGGGAGGCAGACGGGGGCATGCACACGGGTGTCTGTGTCCGGGCTGCCATGGCGCTTCCCATCGGCCTGCTCTGGTCCCTCTTAGCGTCTTGAACTCTCCGTTGGTTTCTACTGAGCTGCCTCAAGCTCCTCTGTGTTCGTGGTGCGTGTGGCATCAGTGTGTTAGCACAGTGAGCGATGGTAGATCGGGATGGGGAGCTGCGTCCTGCCGCTCTGCCACGTAGCCCGTGCATGGAGGTGGGCTGGGAGAGCTGCTCAGGGACCCATCCGAGCCTCCCATCGCGGGGTTGGAACCTGAGCATCAGGGGACCCGCTTCAGGGGACCGGGCTGGCTCTGCCGTGCAGCGGGGTGCTGGGAGCTGCCATCTCCGGCCCGGATCACATCCCCTGGGGCTTTGGAGGATGCGGTGCGTGACGTTCTGTTTCTGGTCTTGTGAGCATCTCGGTATCAAGCTTATGGGCTCTGGAGAGCAGAATGTCCCTGCTTGGAGACACTGGGTGCACAGGCCCCACGGGGGTAGGTCTGGGTGACAGCACACGGTGCTTGGCTGTTCATCCAGGCCACTTCCCACCTTTCATCCTGTGCCTGACTCGGAGGTAAGGAATACTACACGTTGCCTTGGCAACGGCAATTAAAGCAGAGAAAGGGTCTGACATTTATTTAGCGTGGTGGATGGAGCTGACATCTCATTATCAGTGTCTGCCTGCGGAGAGAGACACAACAGCAGCCTGGATGCACAGCAGCAGCGATGAGGGCAGGAGGTGAGGGCTGCCTGGCTGCGTGCTGCTTGAACCAGGGATGGGAGCTTCCTCACGGAGACCCCTGCGAGCTCCCAGTGCACACGAGCATCTTCGGAGCTGGTGTTCAGAGCCGGGCTTTGCTCCCTCTGCTCTTCCTCCAGGGGTTGTGGTTGAAGGAAGTGCGGCGTGTGTTGGTGGGAGGAGAGCTGAGGGTGGTGACGTGCCTTTCTGCTGGCTTCTGGTAGAATAAACCTTTCGGGGAGAGCTTAAAACATCTTCCAGTGCCTAAAGGGGGGGACAAGAAACTTGGAGGGGGCTTTGGATGAGGGACGTAGGGACAGGCCAAGGGGAATGGCTTGAACCTGCCCGAGGGGAGACTGAGATGAGCTCTTAGGCAGAAGCTCTTCCCTGTGAGGGTGCTGAGGCGCTGGCACAGGGTGCCCAGAGAAGCTGTGGCTGCCCCATCCCTGGCAGTGCTCAAGGCCAGGTTGGACACAGGGGCTTGGAGCAAGCTGCTCCAGTGGAAGGGATCCCTGCCCGTGGCAGGGGTTGGGACTGGATGGACTTTAACGTCCCTTCCAACCCAAACCAATCTGGGATTCTGTGACTTGGAACAACAGGTTCTCTATTATTTAATTAGTTAACAGTTAATTATTTAGCAGTAATTAACTGAAATTGGGAGCGGATGGGGCATTCTTTTGCTTGGTGCTCCCTGCTTGTTAGACCCATTTTGCCTGTGCTCTGGTTTTCTTACCTCTCGTGGCCTGACTTCAGGTTAAATCAGGAGCCTGTGCAGGCTCCAAGGAGTAGCGGAAAGGGCCAACTGCAGACACCTCTCTCCTGCTTTCCCCCTGCAATAGCTCTCTTCCATAAACCTACATATTCTCATTCATTAGCCCGTGTCTGGATTGCTTCAGCCCTGGCTTTGTGTGATCTCCTGGGTGCCCAGGGGCAGGTGAGCTCCTCTGGGGCTGGGAACAGCATGGCTCCAGCTTGGAAAGCCACCCCGTGTCTGCCATCCTCATGTGGTAACCGAGTGAGTCAACACAGCGAAGACAAGGGCTGATTAGGGAAGGCAGATAAACAACAAACGAAAGTCACCCCAAGCGCTGCAGTGAGCGGATGGGCTTTGCTCTGTGGTTGTTGCCATGGTTAATGCGTTTGTGTTTCGCAGGAGTCCTGCTCTGCAGCAGAGCTGCAGGTTGGGATGAGTTGTGCTGTCACTGCCGTCTTCCTGCTCGCTCCCCCGTATGGCCGTGATAAATCAGCCTAATGCTGAGCGCTGCCAGATTGACTGTTTGTCAGCAGGCTGCAGGGGAAGCAGCACAAGCAGGACTTTGTGAGGCATCCCGCTTCCTGGTGTGCGGGGTAAGAAGCACAACCAAATCTTCCCTGGTTTCTTTAGAGCTGTTACCCGATGGAAAAACCCAGAGACCAAACTCTCTGCTTTAAACGGGTGCTGGATGTTCAACTAAAAGCACTCTTCTTGCCACCCAGGTTCCTCCCCTTCTTTGTCAAGCTTCATTCTTAACAGAGGAGAATCCTGTGTACGTTTTTCACCTCCTCTAGGTAACTGCGTACAAGAATAGGGATTACCCATGAAACACAGAGTGAAATGCAGCCTGCCTGGGGAATGAATGGTGTGAAAAGCTGAATGGGAAAGGAAAGTAAACAGTTGTCTTGCTTTATTCCTGCAAAATCCTTAGTTTATATTTAGCTTGCCACTCTGCAAGGAGCGTTAAGCCTTAAACAGGAGACAAGGCATGCAGGGAGGCAAGATCTGTGTGCCAGAGGAGCTCCTTCCTCCTCACCAGCCTCTCCTCTGCTGCCGAGATGTCATCCTCTTCTTGTGGCATCCTTGCCATTGCCATGGGAATACCTGGGTTTGCTTAACTCAGGACTTCAGAGGAGTTTGGGGCTGGAGGTTTCACCTGGGTTCAGTGCAGATAGAGTTGGCCCTTGCCACATTTGCTCATCAAATCCCAATGAGTAATGGTTGTGCCTGTGTTCTGCCTGTGCTTCGAGTATTACTAGAAGCTGTCGTTGACCACAGCCATCTCCCTCACTGGTGTCCCACAGCCTTCTACTTGATATATTGTTCATTTTCTCATGGCTTGAATGGTTGTCACTCTGTGGCTGTTGACTAATCCCATCATCATGTATCACAGGGACAGCAGGGAGCCTCTCCTCCTCCCACCCTCTCAATGCTGTGCCCCCGCCATGCAGCCCTGTTGATGGGTTGTGGCTGAGTGACAGGGGGTGATTGGTGAGAGCAATGGTTCTGCAGCTGGGGTTTGTCTTCCTCTCTGCCCCTGGTTCCCAGTTTTTGGGCCCGGTTTCCCCCTGGAGTGGTGGCAAATGGGAAATGAATTGAATGTTGCTCGGATCTGAAAAATTAATGCTGGTAGCTTTAAACGTGCTGGAGGCCAATTGGAAGGGAAAAGGCCTTTGCAGAGCTGTCAAAGCTCTTCAGGCAGAATGAAGATGAGGGTGATAAGCTGCAGGTTTGTAATGAAAGCTGCTATTTGCAGAGGGACCTTCTGATGCCTCTCAAGCACCCAGGACAGCCTTTTCCAAATGTTCCTATATCAAAAGTAAACAGATGGCTTTAATGCAGCATTTCGTGATTGCCTGCATCGATCTCTTCTGAAAAGAGTATTACTGATCACTGGGGACCATTTTCTCTTCTTTTGAAGATAAAAGCAGTGATGTGCAGAAGTGCTCTCATGCTCCAGAAGCCCCTGGCTTGATCCTTCATACCCAGAGCAGGTCTCATGCTGCTTTTCCCTTGCCTTCATCTTCCTTCTTGGTGTTCAGGGAGATGAGGAGCTCCTTCTTCTTCACCAGCCTCTCCTCTCTGCTGCCATAAAGTCATCTTCTTGTGGCATCCTGGCCATTGCCATGGAAATACCTGTATTTGCTTAAATCCCAGACTTCAAAGGAATTTGGGGCTGGAAAATGTACTTGGTTTCAGTCCAAATAGTGTCAATCTTTGCTAATCAAACCCCAAATGATTGTCAGTGTACATTTAGCCCCTCGGGAAGCAGCAGCTCGGTGGTGTGATGGGTGCAGAACAAACCAGGATCTGCTGTTGGAAGCAGAGAAGTGACTAAAGTTTGTCCTGAAATGCTGCAGTGTTTATTGAGCATCTCACAGCTCGTGGTGCCAACAGATGGTATGGAAATCTGCACTTGACAAGCACACCAGGAATAGCAGCAGCTATACCATGGGCTTAAATTAGTGTCATACGGATGGAGGTTTTGGGCAAAAGTCGATGCCCTATGGAGAAAAATCTGGTTGCAAAGTAGTGTCAGCAAATAAACATCAGTGGGACGGTTCCCAGGGGTCTCCCCAGGGATTCCATGTTGCATTATGGACCCCTCCATTAAACATCTTAGTGATTCCTTGCCCAGATGTCCAGAGCTGTTCTTCCACAGGGAGCACACGTGGCTCCTGGGGAAGGGCTGTGGGCTGGCCTGGAGATGCCACGTGTGCCCCATGGAGGTGCTGTGGTTGGTTTAGTCAGTGATGCTAAATGATTAAAGAAGAGCTCTAGAGAAGCCAGAGGTCCAGTTGGTTGTGGCTGGTTGCTGTTTCTGTGGAAGCAAGACTCTGGACCTGAAAAGTGGCTTTAAAGCCAAGTGAGTGTGATGTGGATGGTGGTATTAGAGCCATCTCTGTGTCATGCTGTCCCACTGTGGTGCGAGGGGCTGTGCTCCCTCTTGGTCCATCAGAATGGCTCTAAAGAGGCCTGGAAGTCTCTGTGTATAAATAGTGCAAGGCTGGGTTGGACACAGGGGCTTGGAGCAAGCTGCTCCAGTGGAAGGGGTCCCTGGATGGAGCTGGATGGGCTTTAAAGTCCCTTCCAACCCAAACCAGTCTGTGGTTCTCTGGTAAGTGGCAGAGCTTGGCTGCAGCTTGTGATGGTGCTGGGAGAGTCTGTCTGGCGCCTGGGTTTGGAATATCAGGGGGTTGTTGCTGGGAAGATGAGGAGCTGTATCTTGCCACATTGATAATGTGAATCCTATAAACAAGTCTGCTAAAGAAGGATGTTACAGCAGCACGACAGGCAGCAGGCTGACGTTTCATTTCCAACTGAGAAGATAAATCTGGTTTGGGAGGGGAGTTCTGCTTGAGATGCAAAAGGGGCTTCTGGCTGCAGCACAGGCAGCGTGGTCCTGAGTGGCAGACTGAGAGCTGGGCTGGGTCAGCCTGGAGAAGAGAAGGCTCCTGAAGGGGAGACCTTAGAGCAGCTCCAGTGCCTAAAGGGGCTGCAGGAAACCTGGAGAGGGGATTGGGACAAGGGCATTAGGGTTGGAAGGAAGCTTCTCTCCTTAGGAAGGAGGAATGCTGGCTTAAAGAAGGCTGATTTAAGGAAGTTGGGCTTAAAGAACTCTTCCAGGCATGGAAGTGGGTACAGCTGGAAATCACAGGATCACACACACTGGTTTGGTCATCTCGGTCTCCCCTCTGGCAGGTTCAAGCCATTCCCCTTGGCCTGTCCCTACAGGCCCTTGGCCAAAGCCCCTCTCTAGGTTTCCTGTCAGCCCCCTTTGGTGGGAGATGCTGTGCTTCAATGCAAACACCTTAATAACCAGGGAAAGGCTTTGCAAGAAGCGAGGCAGCAAAACCGTGTCTGCAAGCATCACTGTGGAGTCTGGAATTCAGGGTGCATGGTGACTTGCCTGGCAAAATCCAGCCAGGTGAAAGAGCGCTGGGAGTCAATATTGCCTCAGAGTAATTAAATGCAGGGTTATTGCTTTGCTCCTGATCCCTGTTATTGTAACTGATGCAATATTTGGCTTGCTCCACCAAGGTAAATGACAGCAGGAACTGGGTACAGTTGTGAAGCTGTTACAGGAATATTGGACTTTCAGATGCAGTGTAACCCTGGGAGTTTTGTAGCAGGGATCTAAGCCTGCATCCCTCATGGGGCCTGGGGGCTGTTGGATAGGGAAGGGTTTGGGTTTGAAGGGAAAAAAGGCAGTTAGTCAAATAAAACTTCGATAGCAATGTTTTGGCTGATGGAGCTGGTGAGGCCAAGAGGATCCAAAGGGAAAGCTGAGACCACTGGGGTCAGGAGCATCGCTGGAGGTATGGGGCTGCAAGCTCAAATCTCTGCTCTGAAGAGGGTGCATCAGGATTGCGGATGCTCCTGATGAGCACCATAATCTAAGGACTCTTCTCGATGCCTGTCACTCCTGGATCCAGCTTTGGAGATGGAGAAAGAAGGAAAACAAATGGGTTTCCTTGTGATGCAGGCACGCACATGAAGCAAAGAAGGACGGGCTCACTCGTTCACGAGCCAGTGACTCAGAGAGTGATGGTGAGAGCAGCCTGTCTTCTGCTGTGGCTTTGGAACTGCAATTAGTGCTGCTGAGTTTGTGTGGGCACCTTGTTCCTCTCTCCCAGAGGAGGGGTGAGTTATCCTGTGCTCACAGCTGGAGCCAGGAGTGCTTTGGTTGTTGTGGAATACTTGATGATGTTCCTCTGGAGTTTACCTACAGCTAAATTATTAGTTGCTGGTTTAATTCCCTTCCTAATAAAAGAAGGGCAAACATCTCATTTTCCTTAGGCTGGCTCTAGATAAAGAGTGGGCAGCCTCATTTGTTGAGATTGTTCTGGCTAGAATATGAGAATTAGCATTAAAATGCTGGAATGCAACATATTTAGAGGCTGTTCAAGTCTTCTCTATGGAGCGAGCCAAGCATGGGTTCAGTGTAGTTCTCCATTCCCACACTGCTACAAACCTGCTTAGGGTGGGAGAGCCCTTTGGGATCTGTAGACAACAGCATAGGAAGCTGCCAGGAGTTGTGGGGTTCTCTGGGTTGGAGCTGTCCTGCAGGTGCCAGCTGAAAGGGTTGTCCAGCATCGGAACAGGCTGCCCAGGGCAGTGCTGGTGTCACCGTCCCTGCAAGTGTTCACACCCTGTGGAGACGAGGCCTCAGTGCCATGGGTTAGTGGTGGCCTTGGCAGGGCTGGGGAAGGGTTGGACTTGATCTTAAAGGTCTTTTCCAGCCTAAATGATTCTCTGATTCCATGGCAGTGCCCTTGTGGCAGTGCCCTTCCCAGTCCTGTTTCTTTAGCTCTGTTTGATCTCTTGTGTTTAGTGTGATAACCTCAGTCAATACAGCGGCCTTTGGTTTGGGTTTTAATTGCAGTGAGTATTTTTCCACTAGACTGTGTCTCTTGGAAGGTTTTTCTCACTGCCCTGAGAGCACAGGTTGGTTGTGCTGGGTCGGCACCAAGTGCTCTATGGGCACTCCCTCACCAGCTGGTCCTTGGTCCTGCGGTAGCTGTGACCATGGGTGTTGCTTTGGAACAGTGGGATGATGCTTGTGCCAAAGGTGGCTGGCAAACATCACACTGCTTAAATTGAATATATTAAACATTCAAATGAGAATATTCAAATCAGAGTTAAAAGCTGTGAAGCCTGAATGAGGATGCTCAGCACATGGCAGCGGTACAAGGGACCAAACTGTACATTGGGCATAATGAAACCAAGGGCTTGCTTCCCTCACCTCACCTTGCTGGAGGTGTCCTGCTAAGGAACAATTCCAGTTACTGGCCACTTGCCACACTAAAGCACTGAGGTGGAAGTGGGACCTTTATGGAAGCGGAGCCAGGAGCATTCCTGCAGCTGCAGTCGCTGCTCCAAGCACAAAGTTGGGATGGAGGAGCTGCAGGAGCTGCATCGTGCTGTGCCAAGGGGAATATCCCAGTGCTCTGAGCCACCTGAGCTCCACATCCCAGCGGAGTGCTGCGAGTTCCTGACTGGCTGGCATCCCATCCGAGCTGTGGGATGCAGGAGAAGTCACGGTGCCAGTCCTGCTCCCCCAGGCACCCAGCACATCGGAGCTGCCCTGATGGCTTGGACATGCAGGGAGATGCTTTTGGCTTTAGACAGGTCTTTTTTCCTTAATCCATATTCGTAAAAGGGTTTCCTTTATGGAGCTGTCAGCTGTGCATAACTGACCTTGATTAGATCTTGCAGAGGAGTTGAACTCCCCAAATGATGCTATTAAATGCAAGGTTTCTTGGCCAAGGCTGGACCTCCTGTTTTTCTCCTCCTCCTTGTGCCTTCTGAAAGAACATCCTGATAAGCAGAGCTGCTCTTCCACCCACACCTCTGCCCTGTGAACCCTTTCCCCTGAAATCAGACAGTGAAAAGCAGGATGTTGCAGAGGCACCAGCAGATGAGATCCAGGCACAGCAGCAGCTCTGTATTTAATAGGAAAGGCAGCTGGGAAGTGAACACGTTGGGCAGAGCTGGGGCCGTTCGTGGGGCCACCAGTTTAGAGCTGCCTCCTCATTAACAGCACCAGCACTTTCTGAGCAAGGCCCAAACCTCCCTGAGGCATGGGGACAACCTCTTGGAGCTGGGCTGCCCTCATCACAGGACCAGAGTTCCCCCCATCATCCATTAAGGGTGTTCAATGTGGAATCCCATCCTGAGAGCCTGAGCACCCTGAGCAGAATTCCTCTACCCTGTGAGCACTGGGAGAAGCCATCTGTGTTGGGAGCACTGGTCCTGGGCTCCTCAGGCTCCTCTGTGCAGCAGCTGGGCAGTGCTGAGAGCATCCCCGGAGGCCATCAGCTCTGCAGCTGCTCCCAGCTCCCATCTTGTCCCAGTTTATGTGGGTTCCTATTTATGTTCTTCCCCTGATCGTGCCCCTGCTGTGGCAGCTTCCCTTTCACTCATTGCACTGAACTGGGTGCCTGTAACATGGTGTGAGCAGTGGAGGCTCGGTCGGGGGGCAGCACCGATGGCACTGCTGTGCTCGCAGCTTTCCTGCTCACGTTGGGTGCCAGGAGGTCACTGGGTTTGGCACTGATGGGTGGTTGCAGTCATTCAGGACAGCTGGCATGTGGCATTTGTCAGATCCATGTAAAATGAAGGACTATAACCATGCTGTGAAAGCGTGGAGATTTGGTTACTTTTGGTAAGAGATCTCTTACCTAAGTGATGCTGGATTCCCACACTTAGTTCTCTGCTCATCGTTTTCTTACTTGGAAGCTCCTCAAAACCAAACCAACCCTTTTTTGTTATACCTGACTTTTGGAAACAGCCACAAGCAAAGATGCTTTGGTTCTCCATGAGACCACACGTGCTGTTAGAGGCTGTTAGGAAAGGCAGGGAGCAGAGGAGGCTTCCTTCAGACACGGAGCAAGTGGAGCATCTCCAGCACAGGCCTCCTCGCTCTGGTCTGTGGCTGTAATTCAGTGTTTTCTCTAACGGGGCCTCTGTTCAACAGGTGAAACAGATCATGGAGGAGGCAGTGACGAGGAAGTTTGTGCATGAGGACAGCAGCCACATCATCTCCTTCTGCGGTGAGTAATGGTGGGGGCCTGTTGGCACGGGCTGGGGCTGGAGCATCCTCTCCACACTGGGATCCAGGGCTGTGGTGCGTGTGAGTCCTGGGGACACGGTGCAGTGCTGGGGGGGGTGGTTGGTGCTGGAGGGGGATGCGTTGTTGTGGCAGTGGTCTGAGGCGCTGAGGCCTTTCCTTGGTGCTTAAAATGCCCCGGGCTGTGTCAGGGGAGGCGGGATGCAGGCAGCGCTGAAGGAACACCAGGGATAATGTTCCCTGGTGATAATAAGTCCCTTGAGAACCAATTCAAGAGAAAGTCTAAATATTTCCTTGCTGTGACAGAAGAGGAGTTTGTGGGAAGGAGCCTCCGGTCTGCCCCGTGCAGGAGCAGGGAGGCTGGAGGAGCTTCAAGTGGAGCTGGTGGAGATGTGCTCTGCTGTCAGGCTTGCTCCCCGGCAGCTGTGCTTCACACTCCACCTGCTCTCCTCATCTCTGTTGCTTCCACGGGGGTGACAGCTTTGTGAGTGTGGAAGTGTTTGAGGATGGATCCATCAAAACCTTGGCAAAGGGTTTCCTAGAAGCATCCCGAGGAGCTGCTGCCTGTGGTACGTGTCTGGTGTGCGCTGTGCTCACTGCTCACAGTGAATGCCCAGGTAAAGAGGCTCCTCGAGCAGCTTCAGCCACCCCGTCTGCTGGGTCCGGCTGGGGGGTGATGATGTTAAACCTAGGCAGAAGCCAGTGGGTCTGATGCCTGAAGTGCTTACCCTGCTGCTCCTTGGGTGAGTGACAAGGTTGTGGCCCTGGCCATGGGACAGGCTCTTTGTGCCCCTTAGCGGCTGTCTGAGAGGTGGATGCTGGTTTTGGGAGACCAATGACCAGGATGGAAGAAGAGCAGGTCCCTTGCTGTCCTCTGGCTCGGACATAGCCTCACTCAATAGTGCCTTTGGTTTAGGACCTGTTTGTAGCCCTTCTTTTCAATGCCCTGCCCTGCCAGACACAGTGTCTGTCCTGCAGGCGCTGCTCTGGGATGCTGTGCCTGTGGGAGCTGTTGCTGCTGCTCACTGACAGCACTGGGCAGATGCTGGAGGCAGTTTGCTGAAGGGCCAAGTGTTTTACCCACTTGTGCTTCCCTTCTTGCATGTGTGAGGTCAAGAGCCATCCAATTCCAATAGGAATTGCCCTCTTTGGGATGCTTCTTGAATCTTGCAAGGCAAAATCCTATAAGGGACTGATGATGGGAGCAGTTAGAGGCCCTGCAGCTCTGCTGGAGGAAGCTGTGCTCCCTCTTTCCACTCCCCAGTTTTCCAGCTGTGGCTCCATGTTATCCACCTGGTGCCAGCGCTCCCTGCTCCTGGTACTGTCTATGGCAACACAGGGCAATGGCTGAGCATGCAGGCAGCAGTGCTGGTGATGGTGTGTCCTCCCTTGGCCTCAGCCTTCTGACCAGCCACGGCCTTCCTGCTCATCCTGGTCCTGCGGGTCTGTAGGGAATCCCTGGGACAGGTTCCAGGCACTTCCTTCCTGCAGGGCACAGAGCTGCTGGGAAACCCTCCCTGCTTTCCAAAGGAAGCAGTGTTAAGGAGGGATGGATGCTGCTGTCCCTGCAGACCCGCAAGGGACCACTCTGGGTTGAGCAAGTTTCTTTAAAGGGCAAAGCAAGAAACTCCCCTCTTGTCCTGAGGCTGAAGCTGCTGGGGAGCCTCTGCTCCAGCACCGGGAGCCCCGGATTGCAGGTGAGGGGATGCAGTGTGTGCCCCTCCGCAGCCTGGTGCTCCTGCTGTGCCCATGGCTCTCAGCAGGGCTGGTACAGGCAGCTGCACATCAGCACAGCCAGCCCGGGGCCGTGGGGCTGCTGGTGGGCAGTGTGTGCAGGGGAACCAGAGCTCCGCAATGCACAGAGAGCTGAGGGGCAGCTCCTAATGTGGAGGCTGGGAAGTGAATGATAGGAGTGGTGACTGCCGTTTGGAGCCGTTGCTCTGGGAAGGCTCGTGCAGCACTGTCACCACCGAGGAAGGCTGCAGCACCCACAGACACAGGCACAGAACAGGAAGAGAAGGGAGCTGTGAGGTCTCCTTCCCTGCGTTGGAGAGCAGAGATGCTGCCACCATCCTTCTCTCCTCACACAGATGACATGCGGATGCTTGTTTGAGGCCCGTGTGCCTCTGTGTGCAGAATGGCATCAAAAGAGCAGAGCAGGCACCAAGGTGTGACTCACTTTCTGCTTTGCTGTGCAGCACCAGGCTTCGCAGTTATTTATAGGCTCCTGCAGCACGGGGCTGAAGGCATCCAGGCACGAGGGGCTCCGTGGCTCCTTCTGGCTTCTTCATGATGCTGCTGTGCTGTCAGTGGCTTCTGCTGCCTGCACCTTGCGCTGTTGCTCTCTCGTGTGAGTGGTCTGCGCACATTCTTCATACTGCAGCTCTCCATGACATCAGGAACCTCCCTCCTTGCCAAGCAGAGCGTGTTGTGAACCTGGGGAGAGCTGCCTTCCTCGCAGAGCCCTCCTCCTCCTCCTCTGTGCAGCCAGTGAGCTGCAAAGCCCTTCGATGGGACCAGTGGTGTGGCAGGAAAGGGCAGGTGCCCCCAGCAGCCCTGCTCTGCCTCACTGGGAGGGTTTGAACAGACAAACACGAGTTGGCATCTGTCACGTTCAGGCTGCCCTGGGATGCTGATGAGGAGCCGGCGGCAGGGCTGGGGGCCTCTGTGAGCCGGGGGCTCTGTTGTCCATATCAGTGCTGGGCCTGCCTCATTGCCCAGTCTGAGTGGTTTGAATCGTGCCAGGCCAGGGAGCGTGCAGAAATATCTTTAGTCTTTTGCCAGGAGTTTGGGTGCTGAAGCCTCTGATCCCTTGGGAAAGCACAGGGAGAGTGTTTCCTAAGGACACCGCACGTTTGCATGTTGTTTGCCAGCAGGGATGGAGTCTGGGAGAGGTTCAGGCCATGGGTTGAGCAGAGGTGCTGATGGCTGCTGTGTCTTGCTGGAGCGAGCTGGGAGGCCTTTTGGCTGTCAGGATGTGTCTCACAGCACCTCAGATGCTGTCTGCTCCGCGGTGAACTCAAGGCATGGCAGAGATAATGAGAGCATCTCATGGCCCTGGGAGCTGATGTTGATGGGTCTGCATGAAATGGTTCTTTTTAATGTCTCCATAGAGCTGCTCAGCTGCAGGGAAAAAGCCTTTCCAGGCGAGGGGTGGATCAGCATCTGCAGGGGGGGTTTAGCGCGGCTGGCTTTGGTCCTGAGGAAGGAGGGTGCTGGTGCAGCAGAGAGCGTGTCAGACCCAGATCAACACCCTGCAGAGCTGTGGGTCTGTGTGGTTGTCCAGGGCTCTGAGCAGCCTGTTTGCTAAGTCAGTGTTTGACACCAGGCATCCATCCTGAGCATCCCAGGGGGCTCCAGCAAACAGATTGTGGTGGAGCCTGGACGTGTGTGCGTCTTTCTGTGGAGTCATCGCCATCACCCATCACCGGCAGAGCCAGATCCCGGGCTCCTGCTCGCTGTGGAGCCGGGCAGGGAGCTGAGCACTGGCTGTGGTTTGTGCCTGCTGCGCTCACCAAACCACAGACCCTCTGCAAGGCTTTGCCTTAGTGATGGTGGCTGTGATGAGCACAGCAGAGAGAGGGATGCGTGTGATGAGTGAGCAGAGGGAGCCTCCAGTCTGGTGCCGGTCATGGTGACCCTGTGAAAGCGGCTCCAGCCACGCTGCTGTGCCGGGACCACCACAGCGATGGTTCTGGCACAGAGCTGGCAGGCTCTCCAGCATTCGCATCCATCTGTTTGCAGTGAGGGTGTTGTGTAGCAGAGCCAATCCTGGTGTTTGGGACCAAAGGCTGGGAGCACAGCGCTGCGAGTCCCTCCTCTGCTCTGCTTTTATGAATGAGCAAAGTGCTCTGGGAAGCCCTGAGCCTGCTCACTGCTGGTGGTGGCATGGAAGTACCACCTCTGCGGGCTGAAAGCTGCACCCTCCTGTGTCAGCACCAGCCCTGTAAGGGGATGATACGTTGGTTGGTCAGGTAAGCGAGAACGAGCCCAGTCAGCCCTACCGACTGGTCCCTCCGGTGGTTTCATGGAGACCCTGGATCTACTTTAGCAGGCACAAGTGAGCTCTCCTTTGCAATGCTTCCATCTTGGCACATCCACAGCTCCACAGTTCACGTGTACCTCCATTAAGCTACTTGTTCAGATTGGGCAAACTTCCAACAGGCTTCACCAACCTCTGTTTTTCTTCTGTTTTGCACCCCTAAAGCGGTGCCTCCCTCCGTTCAGCAGAACCGATGCCCTTGCAGGCAGAAAAGCCGTGCTGCTGCCTGCTGCTTGCGTCGGAAGGCATCTGGGTTCCCTCATCTGCTCGGGCAGGAGTGGAACACGGCACCGGTGTTCTCTTGGGAAGCGTTTCTGCTGCGGAGCAAGGGCATGGCCGCAGCAGGGGCCCAGTGCTCGTGATGGGAGCTCCAGCTCCTCCTGCGCCCGCGGTAACGTCCTTGCTCTGTTGCAGCGGCGGTGGAGGCTTGTGTCTTGTTCGGCTTGAAGCGACGGGCAGCAGGGTTCCTGCGCAGCAACAAGATAGCAGCTCTCTTCATGAAGGTGGGAAAGAGCTTTCCCCTGGCAGAGGAGCTCTGCAGGAAGGTGCAGGACCTGGAGCAGCTCATCGAGAACGTGTAAGGCACCGGCACTGACGTTACCCCTCAGGTCGCTGTGGTTTGGGTGCTGCTGTGGGTGGCAGTGTCCAGCTTGAGCCCCTGCAGGAGGAACTGCTCCTTCAGTGGAGCAGGGTCCTGACCTGGGACTTTGATACCTTGACTGAACTGCTTGGTCTTTTAGGACGCTGTGAGCTGCAGTTGTAGTTTAAGCTGGGATGGACAAGTTCTTCCTTCCTCGTGCTCAGGGACAGCTCATCCTGTTTGCTCCTGAGCTGTCACAGCTGATGGACCAGAGCACTAAGCCAGCTGGAACCCAATTTGGTCTGCCTCAGTGTGCAGGGCTTGAACCTGCAGTAACTCAGCTTCTGTTTGGGACTTGCTTACTCATCCTTGGACAGGAACCAGGGAGATGGATGGAGCAGCTACCGGGGGGGCAGGAATCTTTACGTTTGTAAACTGCTGTCCTCAGGCACCAGTGGGAAAGGAGTGTGGGCTTGGAGGACTCTGCTGAGGCAGAGGCTTGTTTGAAGGTGCCTGCACAGTGGGAAACTGATTCAGTGAAGTCAGGGTTCAGATGTGGGTCTTTGGGAGCAGGGGGTGGAACAGATGAAGGGAATGGTGTCCAGTTCAGTGCTCTGCTCCCTGAGCACTGCAGTCACCACTGAAACCCTGGCTTCCTGTCCCTCAGGATGCCAGGGGTGCCCTGGGCTCGTGCAGTGCTCAGTGATGTTGTTGCCTTTCCCCTTGTACCCCTAAAGACGAAATCAGGTCCAGGGCATCCCGGAGAATGTGCGCAAGATGCCGAAGCTGCCCAACCTGTCTCCTCAAGCCATCAAGCACCTCTGGATCCGCACGGCCCTCTTTGAAAAGGTCCTGGATAAAATCGTCCATTACTTGGTAGAAAACAGCAGGTGAGGGCTGGCACGGGACCGCCAATGGCTCATCCAGACTCACTACCAGCATCTGCCCCTCTGAGGGTGCTCGAGGGGCTGCTGCTGAGCTGTGCCCCAGTGGGCCAGAGAATGGGACAGACCGGTTGTTGCTCTGTGCCCACCACAGGGACTCTGATTCCTGCTGCTGGTGGCCACCATATGCTCCCTCAGTTAAAGACAGGCCTGGGTTGTCAGGGACTGTGATGTCCTTGTCTTCTGGAAGCTGCATGCTGGGGTGTCCTGTGCTGGGGAGCTGTCATCTCCAATGCTAGGGGTGTTCCCTTAGGAGATGGTGGTGCTTGCAGCGTGCTGCTGTTCACCAGGAGTTTCACAGCCAGCAGAAACAGCCCCTTAAGGGCTTCTTGCCCTCTCGCCATCGAGGAACGATACAGAAAGAGAAGGGCATGACCATGATTTAAAACCATTCTGTAGTCCCAGGGGGTTGAAATGCTACAGATCCTGCTTTTATTTCTTCTAGTAAGTACTATGAGAAAGAAGCTCTCCTGATGGATCCTGTGGATGGGCCAATTCTTGCATCTTTACTGGGTAACACTTTCCTCTTTACCCTACTTTGGCAGCTTGCTTTCCAAACCCATGTTCCCAGTCCTGGTGCGCTGCCGCTGAGCCATGCACAGAGATGGAGAGTGGCAAGGCTGAGCCTTCAGTGGTACTGATGGGCACGAAGCAGGGCCGAGGCTGGGGGCTGAGGAGCAGTGCGGTGCTGCAGTGCACGCATCCCTGGGGCTGGGGGTCATCTGCTCAGGGCTCTGTGGTGACCCCGGGCATGGGGACAGCCCTGACGGCTCCTTGTTGGTGATTTCTCTGCGCAGTGGGGCCCTGCGCGCTGGAGTACACCAAGATGAAGACCGCCGACCACTTCTGGACAGACCCCTCTGCGGATGAGCTGGTGCAGAGGCACCGCATCCACAGCTCCCACTGCCGCCAGGACTCGCCCACCAAGCGCCCGGCGCTCTGTGTGAGTGTGCCAGGGCAGCTCCGTGGGTATTCCAGCCCGGAGTGCTGGGAGCAGGGGCTGTGGGGACTGTGGTGGGATCAACGCGGCGCTGCATCGGGGGGGGCTCTGCCCTTTGGGAGCATCGTGTGGGAGCAAAGAGCAAAGGCAGCTGAAGTCTGCTCTGTTTATTGCAAACAAACCCCACTCCTGGGGTTTCTCTAAGTACAGAACTGAGCTTGGCCAGAGCCAGGAAACCTTTTAGAGGACACAAGGGAAAAGTAAAGGGTGAAAGTTGGACTTTAAGGTGTTTTCCAGCTCTATAATCCTGTGATTTCTAGCAGTGACTTTATAAGCGAGGAGGGAATGAGCTTCAAGAGAGCTTTGTGAAAGGAAGAGGTGTCTGAGCTCAGCTCATGTTTGTGGGTGCATCTCTTTCCAGATCCAGAAGAGGCACTCGAGCGGCAGCATGGATGATCGGCCCTCACTGTCTGCCAGGGACTATGTGGAGTCGCTGCACCAGAATTCCCGAGCCACCCTCCTCTATGGCAAGAACAACGTCCTGGTGCAGCCAGTGAGTACCTGCTGGGGCATCTGCCCTTGAAAACGCTCTGCTTCCCGCCTGTCCCAAGGAGATTTGATGGAGGAAAGCACAGGCTCATGTTTGACCTGGGAAAGCAGTGGCTGGACTGGGTTTGTTGGGCTCCTCCCAAGTGGAACAGCAGAGCTCTGCTTCTGAGTGCAAACAGGCTCCTCTCCTGCCCACTCATAACCAGAGGCCACAAAATGCCTCCTCCTGTCCCTGCCTTCTTACTGCAGTCAAGTGAGGTGCAAATGGCTTATGTGGAGCTGCTGTGCCTCGGGCTCCTCTCCAGCCTTCTCCCGAGGTGTCCTGGAGGCTCTGCAGGGCCACGCTGGGTTTCTTACTTGGAAACCTGAAGAGCTCAGAGGCCCAGGCTCTGGTACCCTGAGCTGGTCGATGCTTCGTGCTCCTGGCATCTTCCATCCCGCTCTCACCAGCTCCTTCTCTCCCTGTGCTCCTCAAGCGAGATGACATGGAGGCCATACCGGGGTACCTGTCCCTTCACCAGACTGCAGACATCATGGCACTGAAGTGGACTCCCAACCAGCTGATGAATGGCTCCGTGGGGGATCTGGACTACGAGAAGAGGTGACTGGTTCCCAGTGCATGGGGCAGAGGAGAGGGAAATGATCCCAGGTTCACTGAGTGTTCCCCATGACTGCAGAGCAGAACAATCACCCTGGAGTCTGTAACAGGGGAAGGGATGGGGAAGGAGGCCTGAGGTGGGAGAGGTGAGCTGCAGGAGGGGGTGTGAGATGCTGTGCTAGTGCTCTGGAGGGACGTTGTCACTCAGGTTGGTTTCGTGGCAGCTGCTCTGCTGCTGGGACCTCATCCTTTCTGTGGCTTCCCCAGGGTAGCTGGAGGCAGGATCTGGAGCTGACGTGAACAGAGCAGAGCCTCTTGCGTCCCTGAAGCTCCTCACAACTTCCTCTCTCTCTGTTCCAGTGTGTACTGGGACTATGCCATGACTATTCGCCTGGAGGAGATCGTGTACTTGCACTGTCACCAGCAAGGTAAGGCTGGAGCCAGGGTGCTGGAGGGTGCTGGCACCCTGGCACTCGCTTTGTTACCTCTGGGGAGTGCGTGTATGGGGATGCTTCAGCTGAGGTCCAGGGCAGGTGTCCGGAGGTCTGGGTGGTCACCACTATGTAGGTGTTCTAGGAGAACCTTTAAACCAGCTCCTTAGCCTGGAGGTGCTCCATGCAGAGCAATGCCCCATGGTTTTCAAGGGTGGGATCCAGGCAAGCCTTCTCCAGCCCTCCAGACTTAGGCTTATAACAGAGATGAATCCAGACAAGGAAGAGTCTTCCTTCTCCGTACCAGAATGACAACTCCCTCAGCTTGCTTGCCTGCCCCTGCATGTTTGGCTGGTGATGTGTCCCTCATTCATGCCTCTCTTCTCTCTGCTGTCACTGTTAATAGTAGACAGCGGTGGGACGGTTGTCTTGGTGAGCCAGGATGGGATTCAGAGGCCTCCGCTGCGCTTTCCCAGAGGAGGGCACTTGCTGCAGTTCCTGTCCTGCCTGGAGAACGGGCTCCTGCCCCATGGGCAGCTGGATCCACCCCTCTGGTCACAGCGGGGAAAGGTAGGCACCCGAAACCAGGCTTGTTCTGAGGCCAGGGCACTGCGGGCTCCTGCTGGTGTTCCCTTGTGGAGTGTCTGGGAGCAGAGACAATGGGGAGGACCCTCAGCCCAACATCAGTGGCTTCTGGTTTGGAACAACCCTCCCAAAGCTACGGAAGATGGGCTTGGAATGTGTCAGCTCGGTTTAGCTCGTGGCCTTGCCAGACCCTCCAGGGCAAATCAGGAGGGAGGAGATGCTGGCCATGAGGCAGCATAGCTTTGGTTCTGATGGAGCTGGCCGTGCTGCATGGTTGTTCATACTGTGTGCCCAATCCAGAGGCTGCTTCAGCACGGGGAAGGTGCAGACATCATCCAGGATAGGAGTTTGGCAAGCGAGGCACTGACCATGCTGAGCCATGGGGTGGCTTGTGAAGAGCAGGTTTTGTTCCCCTAGGGAAAGGTGTTTCCCAAGCTGAGGAAGCGAAGCCCACAGGGCTCCTCTGAGTCTGCCTCCGACAAGGAAGATGACGAAGCCACGGATTATGTTTTCAGGATCATCTACCCAGGGACACAGGCTGAATTCGGTGAGTGCAGGGCAGTGTTCTGGGTGGGTTATCATGGGGTGCATGAGCAGGCAGGGGTGCAGCACTGACAAGCGCATGGTGCATCATGTCAGGAGGTGGCTCCAGGGCAATGGGCTTTGCTTGTAGCGGTGCTGCCTTTAATCATGTATGGGCTGGGGTTTATTTGCTTCAACCTTTCACGTGCTGGGGAGTCCATCACTGCAGCTGCACAAGAGGCCACAAGAAGGAAATCCTTGCACATCATTTCAGTAGTAAAGGGCACTCTGGTCACGTTCCTTGGGGGTCACTGTTCACCATCACAAGCCTCCAGGGCTGATTCTTCTCTTGCTATCCCCAGGCCAGGTCAGCAAGTGCTGCGTTACATCCGTCTATGTTCCTTCTGCAGTGCAAAGGAGAGACGACAGCACCTTCTCTGGGTGCTGCCAGGCTTGAGCCGTGTCTCTTCACTCCCTGGCTCACAGGGCAAAGGAGAGGATGCTGCTGGATTCCCCAAACCAAATGCCTGGTTGGGAGTGATGTGAGCAACGTGCTCGCTGAAATGACCATGCATTTGTCCTCACTCTTCTGTGGGATGCCAGTTTCTGACTTCTGGGAGCATCGTGGGTGACTTTATAAGGGGGAAACCAAGAGTGTGATAGAGCTTGTGGAGGGGTTTTTAAAAGCTACAAAATTGGATCAGAAACTTGTTCCTGTAATTTTGAGGCTGGAAGGGAGCAGTCGCATCTCCTGTGACTCCTCCATAACGTCAGTTAAGATTATACTTAGTTCTCCCTGCCTTTAGCTGACTAACACGACTCAGTGAGTCAGATCAAGATCTGATTGAGGCTAAAACACCAGATGGAGATGCTCCTTTCTGCAGCTTCCTTTTGATCTACCCCTTAATTCCATGCTGGGGGCCAAGGCTTCAGTCAAATGAATTGCTGCCATCTCCTCAGCTGGCATCATCCAGGTCTGCGAGGTTCCTGTGGACCTTCCCAGAGGGGGGTGGAACTGCTTCAGTTCTCTCTTCCCGATGGATTCTGCCTTTATCCCCTTTGATTTGTGCCTTTGTCCTCTCTCTGTGTCTCTAGTTCCCATTAATGGCCATTTTCAGCCATTCCTCGCCTCTGTGATCTCCATCAGTGCAATGAGAGGGAGGAGCACAAGGACTGCAGCTGCGAGCAGGATAGTGGTGACCCCTAAGTGGTTTCTGAGGCTCCCCATCACGTCCCAACCTCACTTTGCCCCTCTGGGGACCACTCGGCATCAGTGTAATGCAGCTGTTGTTGGTGTCCAGTGCTGCTGCTCACCTGTGTTGTCACTTGACAGTGCCTGCAGAGGTGTCCTGACTGTCACCAACCCCTCAGCACCAGCTTAGAGGGGAAGGGAAGAGGCTTTCACAGGGATATTTCAACATCTTTCTTGCCAGGATCAGTTATTCAGCATCACAAAGAGGGAGTTGGTGAGGGAGGAACCTTCTCCCGTCTGGAAGATGGAATTTCTGCCATGATTTCATTTCCAAGGAGGTGTAAATTGGATTATTCTTCATTGTTCTTCCTCCATCCCACAGTTCACCTTCTCCTAGGGAGGCCCAAGTCTGAAGGGCAGGAGCTATTCCAGGCAGGACAGCAGCCAAGCTGCTCAGCATGACCAGCCTGAGGCAGTGCCTGAGCTGTGTCCAAGGCCACTGAAATAGCACTTCTGAGTTTCAGCAGGGATTTAGCAAGTGACAACAGGAAGAGCTCCTTGCTCCTGCTGTCCCGCTCAGCCTTGTCATCACATCTTTCTCTCTTGTGTGATTCGGATGTTCCCTTCTTTCCCTGCGTCTTGGATGGGATCTGAATGCTTGAGAGATGGGAGCTTTTCCCTTCTCTTCCTGGGACAGCGGTTGATTTCACTCCTGTTTCTCCTCATCTGTGTGACATCTATTGCAGCCCCTTCTCCTCAGTCTCCGTGGGTTGGGTGTGTGTTCTCCGCCTTGGTCAGTGCACAGCAGCTCAAGATGAGCTTGCTGAAGGCACTGTATTTATTAGCAGATGATTCTCTCTTGCTCTCTTTAACCAATCCTCTTTGTTTCCTTCCCTGTCTCCGGAGCTCACCAGTGCTGGTGCTGTCATTACCTGCTCTGGGTCCTACCTGGTGCCTGGAGCCTCCTTGCATGGATGGGATGCTGCCGTTGCTGCTCAGAGCTCTCCTCTCGGGCCTCCTGTGCCTCGCCTGGGGGCAGCGCAGCAGCAGCCGATGCTCCTCTCTCTGCCCTCGCAGTGCCCCAGGACCTGATGGATGCTCCAGGCTCTGCTCTGCCTCCCATGTGGCAGCCCAGCACCCGCAAGTCCTCCTGCTCCTCCTGCTCGCAGAGCGGCTCCTCCGATGGGGGACCAGCCAACGGCTGCAGCCACGAAAGGTACAGCAGCTCCCCTGCTTGCTTCGGGAGCCGCGGGTAACGCAGGGCAGGGGAACAGGAGACAGCTCCGCTGCTGGCCAGGCTGGAACTGGCACAGGGCAAGTGGTGCCTCCAGCCTCAGGCTTGGCTTGGTTGTGCAGGGGCCAGTGGGATGTGTCCAGGCTGAAGTGGGTCTCATCCCATCATCTGGGACATCTCAGCTGCTCTGTGGCCGTGTCCTGGCAGCAGGAATTGCTGCTCTCAGACGGAGCAGAGGGCTGGTGGGCACCTCTGAAGGCAAAGCTGGAGCAGTCACATCAAAGCAGGGGCTGAGGGAACACACGGAGCATTTCCTCTCCCCCCATCCGATGTGTTTGTATTGGCAGAGCTCCGCTGAAGCTCCTGTGTGACAACATGAAGTACCAGATCCTCTCCCGGGCCTTCTACGGCTGTGAGTACTTGTCACATCCGTGATGCCTTGAGATGCATGGCGGGCACAGCACGAGGTCCTGGGCTCTGGGCTAGGAGCGGTGCTGAAGGTCTCTTTCAGGGACCCTCAATGAGAGCTTTCTCCTGCTCTGCATCCTCACGGCTCCTCGGGTTCTGTGGCTGAATGTTTGCTTCGGCCCGGTGCAGGGCTGGCCTATTGCAGGCACCTCTCCACGGTGCGCACCCACCTCTCGGCGCTGGTGAACCACAACATCGTGTCCCCTGATGTGCCCTGCAGTGCCAGCTCGGGGCTGACCGTGGACATCTGGCAGAGATACCTGCAGGACAGCACGGTAGGGCCAACGCTCCTGGGCTATACCTGCTGCGGGGGGCTTGGGAGGTACTGGGTACTGGGCAGCATCACTTCAGCGGTTGTAGCATCGTTACTTGAGTGGGTTTGGTGGCCGCTTCCTGGCCACCCTTTCCCAGAATGTGCACCCACAGGGCTCTACTTAAGCCCAAGCAGAGATCTGAGGGATCATCTGCAGTGAACAGGCAGTGATTCTGTGGAGGTCGGTGTCTGCGCAGTGCTTGGGGTGCTGGAAGGCAGCACGGCCAGGCTGTGCTTGTCCCTGTGTGTGTTAGCGGGTGGGCTGTGCTCCTGGCTGCGTGTGCACTGACTCGGAGCTCTTCCCCCAGAGTTATGAGGACCAGGAGCTGCTGCGGCTGATCTACTATGGTGGGATCCAGCACGAGATCAGGAAGGCTGTCTGGCCCTTCCTGCTGGGCCATTACCAGTTCGGGATGACGGAGGCAGAAAGGAAGGAGGTCGGTGTGGGTACAGGATGGGATGGAGATGCTCAGCAGCCTTGTGCTTTGCATTGGTGTGCTCTGGGCACTTCACAGCTTGAAGAGTATGGCAGAGCTCACCCTGTGAACTCACTGGGTGTTGTGTCCCCTTTGTACTGCGGTGGTGGGAGGTGGGAGAAGGACTTGGGGAAGCAGGAATTGATAGGATCAAGCTCGGGCTCCCTGTGCAGCTGCTGGTTGGTTGTGTTCCGACATAACCAGGCAGGGAGGAGAGGGGAGGTCATTTTTCCATCCCTATTTTGCAAGGTTTTGTGGGTCAGGCTCTGGCTGGCACTGTGCAGATTGCAGGATCTCAGAATCCCAGGCTGGAAGGATCATCTGGACCCTCTCCATCCCGTCCACATCCTTTATGCACAGCAGGGCCCGAGATGGGTGACCTGCATTTAGCCGTGGTTCATAGGAGCGTGCCCCTCCCTGTGCAGGGCTGCTGGGGGGTGCAGGAGGGGCTGGTTCCCGGCTCCTCCAGGACATCATTCCCAGCTCCTGTGTCTGATCCCCCCCGCTGCAGGCAGACGAGCAGACGCGCACGTGCTACGAGCACACCATGGCGCAGTGGCTGGGCTGCGAGGCCATCGTCCGCCAGCGGGAGAAGGAGTCGCACGCGGCTGCTCTGGCCAAGTGCTCCTCGGGGGCCAGCTTGGATTCCCACCTCCAGAGGATGATGCACAGGGACTCCACCATCAGCAACGAGGTGAGTGTGTGGGCAGCTTCGTGTTGGCCTCCGCTATGGGGTACCTGGTCCTTGCTCGCCCTCCTTCCCTGCCCTGTGTCTGCCTCCGCACCTCGTTGCTCACTGCAGTCCACACAAGTTAGAGTTGGGGCTTTCTTACCCACCTTTCGTGTGCTCTTGCAGTGTTTAGAAGCGGGAGGAGGCATCTCCCATGGCATGACCCCTGTTTCCATAGTGTGTAGTGCTGCACTGACCACGAGGTTTTGGTCTCAGTGGTGTATTGGGGGTCTAACAAATGTGCTTAGCAGCAGCACTGACCAGGTCTGCATCCGTGCTGGGCACAGAGGCCCTGAAGGCAGGCGTGGAAAGGAGGAGAGGGCAGGGGCTCAGACAAGGAGGAAGATGATGTCTGTGGCACTGAGGGGATGTGAAGCAGCCCAGGGGGGTCTTGACTGCCTTCTCCATGTTCCCTTTTCTGCCGGCACCCAGCTCCATGGGTCTGGCTTCCAGCAGTGCAGTGAGGAGCCAGATCACAGCCCACACAGAGGGGTGTGGGGGGGAAAGGCTGCTCTGGGAACAGAGTCCAGGGAGTGTTTCCGTGTGGGCTTTGCCCTTGGAGCAGAGCAGCGCGGCTCAGCAGTGCTGGGTTATTGACCTTGCGCTGCCGGAGCAGGGCCAGGCTGGAAGGGACTCGGTAGGTGCAGCTCTGGAGTCCTCTGGTTTCCTTTGGGGATGCTTTGGAAAAGGGATGAGCTCAGTCCCGAGTGTGGGTTACACAGGGGGAGATGGAGGAAGGCAAATCTGAACCAGGGTCTGTGGGGAAGAGCTGAGGCTCAGCTCTGCAGGGGATGGGCAGAGGGGGCTGCACCCTGTGAGGGTGCTGAGGCTGTGGCTGCCCCATCCCTGGCAGTGCTCAAGGCCAGGTTGGACACAGGGGCTTGGAGCAAGCTGCTCCAGTGGAAGGGGTCCCTGCCCGTGGTTGGAGCTGGATGAGCTTCAAGGTCCCTTCAGCCCAAGCCATTCCCTGATCCTGTGACCCCCGTGGCATCTCTGCTGCTGTTGGTTCGTGTCCACCTCTGCCTGTGCTGGGAACGCCTGGGAAGGGAGCTGCCGGAGTTCCCACACACAGAGGTTCTCCCTTTTCCCACCTCACCCTGACATTTCCTGTTAGCAACAGCTCCCATGGCAATGGAGGAAAGCTGTCGCCCTTCCTCTGTGCACCAGAGCCCTGCCCGGTGAACACCCACAGCACGAGGTTGGGACAGCTCCAGCTCACAGGGCTCTGCTCTCTGAGAGCCCTATTGCTTGTGCCTCATGTCCCTGCATCCCGAGCCCCATGGGCTCCTGTGCCAGGATAAGCCTGGCACTGGGATGGCTTGGATGACAAGGGGGCTGGTTGCCCAGAGGGAATCCATGGGGCAGAGCACTCAGCTGGTCACAGCAAAGCCCAACCCTTCCTTTTGCGCTTCAGCTGGAAGCCAGAACAGGGTGCAGTTGGCTTTTAGAGGGTCTGCCTCAACTGAATCTGGCTTAAAACATCAGTATTTGTCCTTTAAGAGAAGGAAAAAGCCATTAATGTGCTCGGAAGGGTGGTTTATGGGCTGTGACTTCATGGTTTATGTGAACTAGGATGGGGCGAGCTGTGATGCTGCCAAATTAGGACAGGGGTTTGTAGGAATCGGCTCTCCAGGGGCCAGAAGGAAGCGGTTCCCTCAGACCCACATGTGTGCTGGGCTGGCTGGAGGCTTGGCTTTTGTCATCTCCAGCAGGCTCTCAGTGGCTGGGCTTGGGACTGATGTGCAGGGCAGAGCTGTGTGATGTGAACATCTCGCATGGGTCAAATACAAGAGTTTACGGGGTGCATTTTCACCTGCTCTGCGCCTGCAGATGTGCCCGTCTCTGCCAGCGTGGCCTCTCCCCATGCTCTTTGCCTTTCCAGTGTCCTTTTCCCTCTCTTTCAGTCCTCGCAGAGCTGCAGCTCCGGCCGACAGAATCACGCCCGGCTGCAGAGCGACTCCAGCTCCAGCACCCAGGTGAGCACCAGCAGCCCCGTGTCCCCTCTGCTCCTTGAGGCCACCCAGCAGCCTGCGGCGCTGGCCCCAGCTGGGGCAGGTCAATGCCCACGGTGGTTTCTGGGGTGGGGGACGAGTGCCTCCCAGCACCCTCTGGTGCCACCCAGCTCGGAACCACGCGGTGCCGGTGCTGGGGGATGTTCACCAGCCTGGGCTTGCAGGACCAGCCCCGTATGGCCTTCACACCTGAGGGCCCTGAACTGCTCCCTGTGTTGGTGGCTGTGTGGTTAACCAGCCTGGGGGAATGATGCTCTGCTCGCTGTGTTGTGCTGAGGAAAGCAGAGTCCTTTGGAGCCGGGGCTGTAGGCTCTGAGCTGTGTAAAGCATCAAGCACTGACCTGCCACAATCCGGGCAGGGGGACCTCAAGGCTGAGATGTGCCCACATATCCTCCAAGGCTGGTTAAATGGGGCAGAGCTGGATGCTCAGCTGGACTTGTCTTTCACTATGGCAAAGATGTGGAGCCGCAGCCAGGCACAGCGTTGGTGAATTAAAATGCCCTCAAGTCCTCTGGACTCTCTTGCCCTGGGTGCTTGTAGAGCCCTGTGCATGCAGAGCAAATCTCCCTCCTTCCCCACTGCTGTCTGACTGCACCATTGCAGGTGTTTGAGTCTGTTGATGAGGTGGAGCAGCCCGAAGCAGACCCTCAGCTGGAAGATGGCAAACCAAGCAAGATCCCCAATGGGACGGTGCCCAACGGTGCCTGTTCCCCAGACTCCGGCCACCCCTCATCCCAGAACTTCTCCATCGCATCGGGGTTCTCCGAGCGCAGCTTCAGCAACGAGGACAGTGCCCTGGAGACCACCAAGTCCTCGGCCAGCTCTCAGGGAAAGGCGGGGGGTTTGGATGCGCCAGCCCCGCAGGACCCCGATGGTGCCCGGCAGGGCCAGGACAGCCTGGAAGGGGAGTTTCCCAGTGGTGGAAGCGTGGACTTTGTTCCAGTGAGCTCCCCGGGGGTCCTGCGTGATGGAGACCGCGTGGCCCTGCCCGTGGTAGAGAGCTGGGCAGACAGCGAAGCCGAGAAGCAGAGCTTGGTGGAGAGTGAGGACAACCTGTCCGAGGAGCCGGAGATGGAGAGCCTGTACCCGCAGCTGGACTCTCTGCCTGTGGCTGATCTGGCCAGCAGTGAAACGGCTGCCGTCTCCTCGACGGGTGTCACCTACTCGGTGAGCACGGGCTTGTTCACTGCGTGGGCCCTGCCTCGCTCTCTACTCCCTGCCCCTCCTGCAGCTTTCTTCCTGGTTTCCATGTAAAACCAAACCAGCTTTGTGTTCGCTTGGGGCAGGCAGAGCTCCTGGACATGTACACGGTGAACCTGCACCGCATCGAGAAGGACGTGCAGCGCTGTGACCGCAACTACTGGTACTTCACCCCCGCCAACCTGGAGAAGCTGCGTAACATCATGTGCAGGTGGGAGCTGCGGGCTGGGGGGGGCACACAGGCTCTTGTCAAACCCCCCCCCTCCTCCAGGTTTTGGGGCAGAATCCCCTCCCTGAGCTGCTGCTCACGCTCTGGGGGTGCAGCCCAGCACACGGGGGGGCTCTGAGCTCAGGCGCACACTGCTGGCTCATGGGGAGCTTTTTATCATTGCCCCCCTATCCCAGAACTGGGCCACAGCCCCAGGACCTCACAGTTGCCACACTGAGGAGCCCAGCATCCTGCTCTTTGTGCTCTGCCTGCTCACTGCTGTGTCTTGGCCTAAGCAGAGGCTCCCTGGGGATGCTCAGGCATTCTGGACCCGGTGCAGCCTGCCTGCTCCCTGGAATGTGTCTGGAAAACATAATGAGGATGAGCTGCAGAGCTGTGATGCTAACAAGGGTGTGCCTGAAGCCACTGAGTGCCTAGTGCCTACCCAGGACCAGCCATCCCAGGGTACCTGATGCTCCTTGCTCAGTCCCTGTGGCTGAGGGGTTGCTGTGTGACGTTCAGCAGCTCCGAGCAGCCCCAGCTCAGCAGCTGGCGCAGCGAAAGCTGAACTGTCATTACTCATCTTGCAAACATGAGGAGAAGCTGCTGTTTCATGAGAGCTGTCGCTGTGTCTGACAGCCAGGCTGGAGATCTCTGCTGGGATAAGGCCCATGGTGCAGCAGACGCTGGAGTGGGCAGGCTGGGGAAGATCGTTCCCTTGTGCCAGCAGTGGATGCGAGCCCTTTCGGAGCACGTTTTGACTTGCTACCAAATATGGGAAGATATCCACAGGCTGGTTGCTTCCTGGGACATGGGCTCCAGGGAGGGGAAACGGGAACGCTGTGAAGACAGAGGCAGAGGGATGAGTTGAGGGGGAAGAGTGAGAAGGAGAGGTGAATTCACACTCTGTCTGTCTGCGCTTTGGACCACAGCCCCACCCTGCCGTGCTTTGATTCCACTCTTCCTCACACTGATTTCCATGCAGTGGCCATGGCACAGCCCTGGATCAATGCTGTGGCCATGGGCTGTGCCAGGCATGGCTTATTAAAGTCACCATGGGAGCTTTATCACAGAATCCCAGGTTGATTTGGGTTGAAGGGACCTTAAAACCCATCCAGCTCCGACCCCTGCCACAGGCAGGGACACCTTCCACTAGGCTCCAAGCCCCTGTGTCCAACCTGGCCTTGAACACTGCTAGGGATGGGGCAGCCATAGCCTTGTGCTGGTGGCAGCATGTAGGGAATGCTGGTGCCCTGGGAACAGAGGCAGGTTGGGAAGCGAGGTGTCAGGCTGTGCCATGGGGAGGGCTCATGGGCCACCTTTCCTGCTCTCTCACACAGCTACATCTGGCAGCACATTGAGATTGGCTACGTGCAGGGGATGTGTGACCTGCTGGCCCCTCTCCTGGTCATCCTGGATGATGGTGAGTGGGTGCCTCTGCTTTCCCTGGACCTTTGTGGAAGCACAGGGAGGATCTGCTGGGCTGGTGGTGACCCCTTGAGCTGTCCCGTGCTCAGGTGTGGAGCAGCAGGGTTCCATTTGTGTTGGTGCTGAGTGACTCCCAGGAGCCCAGCCTGGGTGCAGTGTGTGCCTGTTGCAGCCTGAGCTGTCTGTCCAAGGCCGGTCCCTGGGCTCTGTGTGGAGCAGGAGGGATGTCCCTGCTACGGGTGGGTTGTGGTGGTGAGGGTGCAGCAGCGACCCTGCAGCCCCAGTGACTGTCTCTTCCCTGCACAGAGGCTCTGGCCTTCAGCTGTTTCACTGAGCTGATGAAGAGGATGAATCAGAACTTCCCCCATGGAGGAGCCATGGACACCCACTTTGCCAACATGAGATCCCTGATCCAGGTAACAGGGTCCTGGCACAGGGATGCAGCCTCAAACCAAGGCTGGTCTTGAGATGGGGGTCTCATGCAGTGGTGGGGAGCAGGAGGCTGTAGAGTAACGAGTGCCAGGACTGTGAAGGAGGGAGGAGCTGGGTGGAAGCTGCAATGGGACCAGAGGAGAGCAGGCAAGGGCATGGCTGCTGCCTCCATTGTGCCTCATTGAGCTTCCTTTTGCTTTCCTCATCAGATCCTGGACTCGGAGCTCTTTGAGCTGATGCACCAGAACGGTGACTACACTCACTTCTACTTCTGCTACCGGTGGTTTCTCCTGGACTTCAAGAGAGGTGTGTGCTGAGGCAGCAAGGGGCAAGGGAAGGCAAGGTCTGTGTGCCCTCTGCAGCTCCGCTTCTCTGAACTCAACCACAAGCCCCTGCTTTGCTCTGACCTGGTAGATCTGGGGCTTTGCTGTGTGGATGCAGAGCCTGCTGTTCCAGAGCGGCTGGGTTTGTGTCCTGAGCCTGTGCCCCTGCTGCAGCCGGGAGGTCTGTCCCTGGGATGGGTTGCTTATGGCTTCCACCAGGAACAGGCTCCCAGGGCTGCTGTGAGTCAGGGTCATTGTAAAGCCAGGCTGGTGCGGTAACTGCTGGGCTTTCTCCTGTGTTCCAGAGCTGGTGTATGATGATGTCTTTGCCGTCTGGGAGACCATCTGGGCAGCTGCACACGTCTCCTCTGCTCACTACGTGCTCTTCATAGCCCTGGCGTTGGTGGAAATGTACCGGGACATCATCCTGGAGAACAACATGGATTTTACAGACATCATCAAGTTTTTCAATGGTACAGCCGTGTCCTCCCGGGCAGCCACTCGGGTGTAGGCAGCACGAGTCCGACTGTACACAGTCATCTGGGACATACTGGTGGATGTTAAAACAGAGCCCACCTTGCTGTGCTTAATGGTGCAGGCTGTGCCTCCTGCGAGCTGCAATCACCCCCAAAGGAGTTGTTAGTGATGGCTCCTCGGGTGTCTGTGAGGGATGGTGCTTGGGAACTTGGGCAGGGATCTGGGGCTTCAGCTCCTGCTTGCAGGTCGGGGCTGGGGGGTCCTCGGGACACGGTGCTCGGGTCTATCCTCCTCCTGTCTGTGTTCCAGAGATGGCCGAGCGGCACAACACCAAGCAGATCCTGAAGCTGGCTCGGGACCTCGTCTATAAAGTCCAGACTCTGATCGAGAACAAGTGAAGGACAGGGGGAAGACGAGACATCCAGACAAGGAGCCGGGACGCCCCTCCAATGCTTCCTTCCCTTCTCCTCCTCCTCCAAGTGCCATGCCTGTGGATACAAGGTAGTTGGACACATGCTGCTGTCTAAGCTGCAAGTACCCTTAGCTCTCCACGTGCTGTGTTCAGTGTTAGGTCCAGTGGTCCTGGCTCACGTCTTCGCAGCCGCCTTCAGTGACTTAACCAAAGAGCTGTGCAACGGCATCTCAGTGCTGAGGACTTGCTTTGGGAGCACACAAAAACTGCCGAGGCAGCCCCAGCACCCAGGCAGAGCATCCCTGGGGCTGCCTTGGGCTCAGCAGCCTTTGCTGCAATGGGATGGAGCTGCTCCTTGGGCAGGCGCTGCCCCGTGGCACCAGGAACCAGCCCCACAAGCCCGGTGCTGCCAGTGCTCCGTTTGTGACCAACATCACGAGGTTCTGCAGGTAACAGAGGGACTTGGATCACAGAAGTTCCCCTTTGATCTAGTCCCTCAGTGCATCCCCTATAGGGTTATTTTTAGGGCTCTGATCTCCCCCTGGGGGTTTGACATTGTTTGTTACTGCAGCATCATGGGAGTTTCAGCTCCGGATGGGCTTTCAGAAGAGCTCCAAATTCAGCATTGGGCTTTTCTGTCAAACCCAGCCTCTCTGATGCTCTCTGAACACTGGAAGATCTGGTCCCAACCTCCTCTGGGAGTTCTGGACCCGAGGTTTTCTCACCTGCCTTACTCAAGCTGCTCGTGGTAGGGGCTGGTTCCTCTGTTAGGGGAGAGCTCCTCGGTGGGCAGGTCAGAGCTCCTGGGGGGGTCTGTCCTCACCTTCCCTCTGAAGGTGCCTATCTCCTCTGCTCATTTAAGGACCAGCTGCTCCAAGCAGGACAGTGCAGCCAATCCCCTTGGTGCCTGTGGGCTTTCTGTGTGCTTCTGGGGTTGGCTTCAAAGCCCCTTACATCCACTGTAAGTCTCCAGTGAGGTCTTGGTGGGCTTCTTTCAATGCCTGTGAAGAGGAAGATAGCCTGAGGTCCCTGAGTGGGCTCTGCTGTTGGAAGATGCCCTTCTGCGGCCCCTGCATGAGGTGCCTCTCCAGCCCTGCCAGTGTGAGAGCAGGGGTGCCCATCGTGCTAGGGCTGCACTAAGGAGGGTTTGGATTCATTCTTCAACTCAGGTACAAACACTAAAGGCAAAGGAGAGGGGTGGGTGCTTGGTAGCTCTGGTGCAGCCAGGGAGGCTTTGAGATGGCTGCAGGGCTGCAGGGAGCCACGCTCGCAGCAGCGGGGAAGGGGCTGGGTTGTAGGGTCCTTGCTCTCAAGTTTTGCTGCAAAATCCATGTTCCCCTCCATGCAGTGTGTGATGTGTGTGATGTCTGCTGTGTGATGATGTGCATGTGGTGTGTGTGTGCCCTGCTCTTCTCTTGCTGCTGGCGTGCTGCTCACCCAAAGGGGAAAGGGGCCCTTCCCTCTCTGGAGCATCTGTCTGTGCCGTGTTCTGTATTTACTCGTGGTGTGTGTCAGCCGTTGCTCGCAGGAGTAAAGAGGGATGTGAATCTGCAGGAGGGAAGGCTGCTGCTGCAGAGCAGCTCTGGAGCATGCTGAAGTGCTTTGCAGCTCCCCAGCAAACCACCTGCTCCTTCTGTAGTGCTGGGACAGGGAGCCTGCAGCTGGGAGATCCAGGGGCCAGCAGCACAAACTGAACCCATTGGAGGCTGCAGCAATGGGGAGCCTTCCCTTCCCCATAACCCCAACAAGCAGATGTGTACCAGCGATCTAGATGTCTTGAAGCAGTTGTCTGCATCAAGTCTCCCAAGAGTGCTTGGTCTGCAGCAGCAGAGGGAGCAGAGGCCCCTGAGCTTCAGCTCTGCACTTGGGGTGGGAATCTTCCATCTTTCCACAAAGCAGAGTGCAGGCTCTGCCTCCCAGCACAGGCATCCCCTTCTCCAAAGGGGAAGGGAAATGCTCCCTCCTCCCCTCTGAGGGACCAGAACCAACAGGTGAGCTTACACAGTCTTAACCAGGCAGCATCACTGACACTTGATCTTTCAAGCTTCTGTTTTAATTCCTTGGTTTTTACACAGAAAGAGCCAAGAAATTCTGCACCATATTTGCTCTGTGTGGACCGAGGGTGTCTCTGGGCCGCTCGATAGCAGTGTCTTTTGAGTCACTTCTGGGGAAAAGAAGTCTTTATTCCTTGATTGTACTTTACTGTGTGTCCGTGTACACTGGAGTACGTGGGTGTGCTTTGTTATGCAAATGGAGATCTATCTTTTCAATGTTCTTTACAGTATCTTGTAAACGTTTACCAGAAAAGTGTGTCTATATGATATATATATATATATGGTATAGAGAGAAATATGTGAATTAAGTGGGTTATTTTTTGAGGGGGGCGGGAGGGAGAAGAACTCTTTTGCTTCTAAGAACTGTGTGGTTCCTATAGCACCTACTCCATGATGTGCCAATCTGTCACTGTCCCTGTACTGTGAGAGTTGTTCTGGTACAGCAGCAGGAGGCTCAGAGCAGAGCCCCCATCAGCCTGGGTTTAGTTCTGACCTTAAAACTGGGAGAGAAGAAAGAAAGGAGGGAAAAGCGTTACAAAAGGCTTTGTTTGAGCAGTGGGGCTGAGTTCCACCGAGCAGACCTGTGCTCGAGCGGGTTCTGTGCCAGCCCTGGGATTCACTTGTGCAAGGGCAGTCGCAGGGTTGAGGCTTGGTGTGGGCTGCAAGGAAATGGGATAGTCCCAAGAATGCGGTCTGTCATTTAACGTGGGAGTGAAGTCATTCTGCCCCGCAGCTGGTCAGACCTCTGGTTAGGAAAGGAGGATGATCCGCTCTCCTGGCTGCAGGCAGTGCCCCAGTGCACTGCTCCGCTCCAGTTCCTACACAAGCCAGTGAAAACCATCTGCTCCCCATACCCCTGTGAGAACCTGAGCCCAGAGGTGCAGCTCTGCGCAGGTCTGAGGGAGGAGATGTGAGCGGTTTCCAAGCCCTGCAGTGGTGGATGGTTCCCTATTGCCCACCCTGCTGGACCCTGGCCATGAGGCAGGACAGGACCAGGCTGTGACAGTCCCTGTGCTCTGCCCTTCCCCAGCCCCTGGCCCTGTGTGATGGTTTGATCATCAGATCTGCAGTGGCAGCTCTGCTCCTTGCTGGCCACAGGTTTAGGTGCTTGTAGAGCCCTGGTGTGAAGCAGCACCAGGAGCCTGGGGCTCGAGATCTATTTTATGGTTAAAACCTGCTAAATTTAAGCACAGGTTTTCATTGTGGAGCTGCCTGTGGCCCTCCTGCCCTGCTCTGCCCCTCTTCTGGGATGAAGCTGTATTGTGGGCTCCTGACAGTGAAGATCCCATGGTCCTGTGGGACACGCAGCTCTCCCAGCTGTGCTGCCACAGGATCATGTTTACCACAGCGGGAGAAGCCCATGGCAGGGGAATTCTTGCCCTTATACAGTCATCTTCTCTGGCTCCTTGGGGAGAGGAATGTCTCATCCCAGCGGCTCCGTGCCGCTGAAATCCACCCCCTGCAATGGCACTGCAGGCTGGGACTATCTTTAGCCTGGTCGCTCTGCTCTGTGGGACCAGGGACTGGAGTTGCTGCTCTGACTCGAGATGGCTGCATCCTGCTCCTGGGCACAGCATCCCACTTGTCCCAGCCCATGTTCCCTGCTCTGGGTACCTCCAGACTGAGCTGGAGTGAAGGATGGACATGGGCTGAGATGCTCAACTCGCATTGCACCCGTGCTGAGCATCCTTAGAGGCATGAGGGATTCACTTTATGAGCTGCTCAGCTCGCAGTTATCTTGGTATCTTTAAATACAGTGAAAGTCCCGGTGCCATGTGTCCCCGAGGGTGTTACTGGTGGATTCCCTGTCTGCATTTGAGCTTTCTGCTGATGCAACCCACCAAATAGCTCCTGGTACCCATCCCTTTCAGTGTTACTCATATAAACCTTTAGAAATTGCCCTTGTTCCTAAACATGTGGGTTTTACAGGAGTTGTTCTCTCACTGTGTTGAGTCTCTGAACCGCTTTGCTATGGGTGTGATTCGTGAAGACTGAGAGGGCTTTTTGCATGGGGACTTCTTGCTGCCACCCTGTTCTGCTCTCACCCAGCCTCTTATGATCTGAGCATCCCTTCACATACCCACATGGACCTTTCCATCACTGAGAAGTGAAAACCATATCAAGAGAAGTGACATTCTTGACGTGGTAACTTGGAATTGCGGTTCTGCCACAGTCCATCCATGGGTGAGCTGTGCCCATCCCAAAACCCCACCTCAGAGACACCAGCCTTGTGGCCAAGAGCAGTTTATGGGATGAGATTCTCTTATTCTTTCTCCTTTATTCATTTCTTATTTAAATCCAGCTGGCTGGTTTTCCTTTCTCTCCCCATTCACTTGGAGTAGATGGTTAATCCCCTGCACTGGGAGCTGCTGTGGCAACAGTCCTCCAAATGGGTGTGAGACCAGGTTAAGATCCTCATCACCTCAGTTTGCTTTTAATAATCTCTTACAACGTCTTAGATCTCTGCTCTCTCCTGTGGTGTTGCTGTTCAGAGCCCTTCCATCAGGAGGCCTGAAATGATTGGCATTTCATCAAACATCTGTCCAACATTCCTTACTCCGTTCGGGAGTTTCCACTTGGGCCGAGCAGTTCTGGGCTGGTTTTCAGCATTTTACACTCGCTTGAGCACAAATTGGTGGTGAAAGAGCACAAACTGCGGAGGAAGTGATGCTTCTCCAGCGGGCCCGAAGGGTTGGAACTCGCCAGAGCCAGTTCCCAGATACCCTGAAGCAGATAAAATGCCACTTCCTGCTGCCTGCGCTGTTCCAGGCACCCCAGTGGTCCTTGCCCAAGGTCATAATCCTCATTGCCTGCCCTCAAGTAAGCACATTATCACTGATTAAGGCACCTGAAGTCTTTGTGGTCCCACTGACACCCCGTTTGTGTGTGGTGCTGGCAGTGAGGGCCGGGTTAAGCTGTTCTGGTGCCTTTTCCATGGTTTGGAGTGTTCAGATTTGTCCTAAACTTTGTCCGAATCCCGAGTTTCCTGGCGAATGTGTGTTGTTGGAATAGCCATAGCAGTCTGTTAATGTGTCTAATTTTAGATCAGTGATAAGCATATTCAACCTTAAATCCCTGTTCAGTACTTTAATCACTTCCTTTCTGAAATGGGTTTTGCACAGGGGATGGAGCTGCAGGTCCCAGCCCCTGGTCCGTGTCAGGCTGCGGTGGCTCCTGAGCCGCTGCCACACTGAGGGTCCGGGGCTCTATTATTAGTATTATTTAAATTATTATTTTAGTTTTTAATAAATCAATGCTAAAATATAAACTATGCACAAAATGTTCAAGATGCCTGGAAGGTCTGAGGATAGGAGTGGCTTCAGCCCTGAGGAAGGGAAAGGATTGAAAAGGCAAATCCTGGATACCGAGGTACTAAAAGCTTCCTTTTCACAACACATAAGATCCACTTAAATCCTTAGAAGTTCATTCTCCTCTTGGAGGTTAATTCCCAGGAGCCAGGGAAGGAGAAAGGTGTCATTCACAAACAGAACTAATGAGAACCTGTGGTGTTAATCCAGTCATAGACCCACGAATGTCACCTCCCTTGTGCTAAGGTGTGTTCTGCAGAGCTTGGCGCTGGGCTGTCGCCCTGCTGCAGCCCTTGTGGAGATGCCAGGAACCATCCCAAGCTCTGTGGGACATGGGGTTACCTCTCCACAGCAGGGTTATGAATGTATCTGATGTCCTGGCATTAGACTTTTCTGTTGCCCTACACTGAATTGCTGCTTTTCTCTGTTGATGCCATTTTGGTCTCTGGGAGTTGCTCTATTGAGCTTAACAAGCACTATAGCTTTTAATATATTTGTAGAAGTGCTGCTAATGTTCTGGGATGATTTGAATTCCACTCTGTGGTACAATATCTGTTTTATATTATTTTATCCATGCTTTTGTTTTTTATGTCAACTGTTCCTTATTGTTGTTCAGGAAGAAGAATTAAAGCTCTATTCTCTATGGTTAATGTATTTTCAAACCGATACCATCCTGGTGGTTCTTTATGGCTGCGCCGGTCCCTGGTAACACAGAGGCTGTGGAGGGCATCAGAAAGGCAGCAGGGTCCTGCCCTGTGTGGGGCTGGCACTTGGCATCCCTGCAGCCTCCAGAAGCTCTTTGGGTGCTCCCTGGGGAGAGTGCTGTGTGTGGGGAGATGTGAATGGTGACCC